ACCTCCTTGTCTGGACTCTCGTAAAACCTTGTTTTACATGTTGATGAAAAATTGGGTGAAAACTGAAATCTGTTAGAAGTTTCCAGAAGTGGCTATAATCGATCTTTCATTTCATTTTCGTTTTGGGGTCCTGCTGAGTTCTCCCTAAGCAGATCAAAACTGCACACTCTGTTCTTCACCCCGGAAACGGTTGCGCATCTCTGGGGCCTCACTCACCTGCGTGTTCTTCCACCCTCTCGGTGCCCCCGTGCTTCCTCAGAGCCCGCTCGGCTCCCGCGCGGTCCTTGGCTGCGAGGGCGCTGGCCACGCAGCGGAGCAGGGCGCCACCGGCGTGCACTGCGAGTGCCCTCAAAGGAAGTGCGCGTGTTCTCGAGGCCACTGACGTCCTCAGAGTGTCGTAGGGCACACACACGGGATGCCACCTGGGACGGTAGAGAGCACGTGGGCTCCCACGTCCTGCAGACCTGGGCTCTCCGACTGCGTGACCTACGGCAACAGTCCCGAGTCTCCGTCTCCGCAGCTCTGAAATGCACGGATGTCTGTCCATCCAGCTCGGGCCCGCTTCCCAGACGCCTCAATAAATCAGTCCCAGTGTGGCGTGGGCCGCTCACCGCCCCCTTCCCGGTGTTGCAGAGTTCACAGCAGAAGGCTGTCTCCCAAAATAGGGCGTTTCTATGATCTCCTTAGGGGTGCTCCTAAGAAAGACTCTCAGGTGCTCACTTCAGATGCCTTTGCCCCTCCAGCTCGTAACAAATAATTTCATGATTCTAGTTTCCCCTCTACATGTGTCACTGTGCTGTCCTAATGCATCCACTTTTCTCGCCTAGTGATCTGAAACTTGGAAAAATCTGTCAGTATTCTCAGATCGCCTTATTTAACCCCACGGGGTCTTAGCAAGCATGTAACCCATCTCCCCGCCAATCCGCCCCCTGAGCCCGGCAGGCAGGGAGACACCCAGTCTCCCCGCAGGAGAGCCGATGCTTCCAAGACTGCCCGCTTCTGACACTCGCCCTCACGTTAAGTTTGCCTCCCGGCGCTGGGTGGCCATCGGTCCGCGCTGACCCTGCTGGAGAGGAATCAAGCCTGCTCTCCATCAGGTGTGGAAACTAAAGCCAGAGACTCCACGCTGTGCACGTGGGGAGGGGCTGCCGAGATCCAGGGGCCGCCAGCCGCGTTGCTGGATGAAGCGCAGTGTTTGGGAGGATATGTTTACCCTAAACTATCATTTATATAAAATTCCAGTTAGTTAGCCCTGGCTGGCGTAGCTCAGTGGATTGAGCGCGGGCTGTGAACCAAAGTGTCGCAGGTTCGATTCCCAGTCAGGGTACATGCCAGGGTTGCAGGCCACGGCCCCCAGCAACTGCACATTGATGTTTCTCTCTCTCTTTCTCCCTTCCTTCCCTCTCTAAAAAATAAATGAAATCTAAAAAAATAAAATCCCAGTTAGTTAAACTAGATGCACTGTGTTTTCACTCGCGCACCCCGGCCGCCTCACAAGTGGGGGCCAGAGAGATCCCAGAGAGATCGCGTGGGGACGGGCCGGACCAGGGCCGGACGAGGGAGGACGAGCACTGCCTCCTGCCCCGTTCTGCTCGGCCCCGTCTCGGCTCCGTGGCCCCTCAGCACCTCCGAGGCGGCCTCTTCCGTCCGAGCACCCATTCCTGCAGGAACCGTGCTGTTTAAGGTCACGTACCTTTGGTCTATGAGCTCCCTCCTCTGAGGAAAACAAACACTCACTTTCCTCTCCCTCGTCACCCCCCGCCCCCCCCAACCGATGCCTGCTCGGCTGAGTGCACCCCCACCGCAGGGAGCAGGCGGACAGTTCTCTTGTTGGCCGTAGGCACCCACACTGGACTTTGCACAGGGACCTATGTCTCCTTACTTTCCCCTTTCAAGTTAAATATTTGAGGATAACTACTTTTTTTTTTGCCCAAATGCCATCATCTGACAACATTTCCAGTCTCTCCCATCATTCCTCGTGTGCAATAATAATCAGTGAACTTCACATAAAACAGGCAGATCTGAACCCAATGCTCTGGATCAGATTTGAACACTGCGACGCAGCCTAGGATTGCGTGGCGTCAAAATGGCCAATGAACATATGCAAGGTGCTTAATTCCCTTAATGCCACCAGGGGAGCAAAACCACAGACCGCCACGCACCCACCGAGATGGCTGGAATGGAAAAAGACTGACATTAGCGAGTGCTGGCTGGGATATAGAGCTCTGAACTCCCGCACCTCACGTGTGGGGTGTCAACTGGTACAACCTCTTGGGAAAATTGGCAGGATCTACAAAAGTTCAATATGTGTACATCCTACACCCCGGTAATTCCACTCAGGTGTTCGCCTAAGCAAAATGCATACATATGTTCACCAACACGCATGTACAAGAATGTCTTTAGCAGCCTTAGTCCTGATAGCCTACAACTGGACACAATCCAGAGGTCAGTAGTAGAATGGATAAATGCGTTATGTATAGTTGGGTGGAGGAATACTATACAGCACTGAAAAGGGACAGGACTTGATATACACGCACAACAGCATGGATGGGTGTCGCAAACACTCAGGAAAAAAACAAAAGAATCTATAGAGTATAACCCCATTTGCATAAGGTTTAAAAGCTGGTGAAGGTGGTCTGTCGTGTTAGAAAATCAGAGCGGATACCTTTGGGGACAGTGAGGGGGAACTGGGAGAGGGCATGAAGGGAACTCTGCGGTGCGGGAAGGGCTCTCCTTCCTGACACAAGGAGGGCGACATGGTCCTGTTCACTGGAAAATAGCTCACCGAGCCGCACACTTTGAATTGTGCATTTTCTGCGCGTTATGCTTCAATGTAAGAGCTTCTTAAGAGACAGCATTGAATTTGCAGGAAATCTAGTTTCCCACGCCATATGTTCATGCATTTGATTGTGTTAAAATTCTAAACACAGCACTTTGCGTTCGTCCTTCTGAAACTTGATTATTTCTGCTAATTAAGCTATGTTGAGGTCCTGACTGTGTCCTTTGCCACCTCGGCTCCCCTTCCGGCTTTGTCTCTACCCACGCCCCTTGGAGTGCCCGGGAGGGCTTGCTCTGAGTGGACGGCGGAACAGGAAAACCGATATGCTTCAGGCCTGGTTGGTAACCAACTAACGATATTTTCATCACTCTTATAATGTGTATCTTACCCACGGGGTGTGAGAAATTTAACCAGATGCCTTGTGAAAGTCAAGTTATGTAGTGTTCTCTTGATTTAAACGTTTAATAGCTCTCTAAAAGAAGAAATTAGGCTAGTTTGCTCTTTTCTCTGAATCCCTTTTGACCCCTGTTAATCACCTCTTGCTGAGCTCAGTGCTCACCTGGCGCCAGGTATGCCAACAGTCGAGGCTGTTCACAGACATGGGAGTCCTCTCTCCCCCTGCACACACAGTAGGACTGCACTTCCCCACCCACCGGAAGTTAGCTGTATCTGTGTAACTTGCTTTGGCCAACGCCATGTGAATGGCAGTGAACTATGTCACTTCCGGGAGAAGACTTCAGGAATGAGTCTGCCCCCTGGACCCTCTTTCCCCACTGTCTTGGCAGCCCGCATGTCCCGGCCTGGGTCCCCAAGTGAAGGCAGCAGCGCAGCGGGACCTCAGCCAACCTGCAACGGACACCTAGCATGAGCAAGAGATAAATGAGCCTTCGCTGTTCCAAGTCCCTGAGGTTCTGGCGTTACTCGTTAATGAAGCCAAACTAGGCCTGTGCCGACTGATACACCATGTTTACCAGCCCACGTTTTCTGGGATCCCCAGAGAGCCTCGTCTTCCAGAATTTGGGACCCCTCCCGTTCTCCAGCCCAGTGTTCGTTCTCCGTTATCTCTCGAGATTACCGGCAGGATTGCTGTCCTTGCAGTGTTTGTGGATGTAGTTTTCGGGGGCCTGGCGACTAGACCTTGTTTTGAATGACTGGGTACTATATCGCTACTTCCTTCTCTTGGACGTCAATTCTTTCTCAGCCGTCTTTGTTACACTTTTCAGCTCTCCCCAGGGGAGAAGGCAGCAGCCCAAGAGGAACTGTGTAGCACATCCTAGTTAAACTTTGTCCTTTTTCCTCTTCTGTGAATTGCTTTCCATAGAGCCTAAACGTCCCTCTAGTTTCTCTTAACTTCCTCATGTTTCCTCAGTCTCAGCTCATTCCGGGCACTCTGTTTTCTCACACTTTTCTCATAAGTTCACGTAGCACTTGTCAAACTCTCTGTCTGAAATTATTTGATGTACTCATTATCTATTGCCTGTCCCTGGTACATGCTGTCGCTTAATGCTGCTTAAAAACAAAAACAAAAACAAAAACAAAAAACACTTAGCCCTGGCTGGCATAGCTCAGTGGATTGAGCGCAGGCTGCGAACCAAAGTGTCGCAGGTTTGATTCCCAGTCAGGTCACATGCCTGGGTTGCAGGCCATGACCCCCAGCAACCGCACATTGATGTTTCTCTCTCTCTCTCTCTTTCTCCCCATCTTCCCTCTCTAAAAATAAATAAATAAAATCTTAAAAAAAACTTAGCTATATGCTTTTCTATCTTTTGTTCACTTCTTAAATTTGAGTTCACCAGAGCTTTTCCTTTGAAAGGTTATGTAATGTTTAATACTCAGTTTTAGAGGTTGCTACACCATTTAAATTTTGTTCATTAAGTATACTGATGTTTTCCCTGATTTAAAGCTAAGGAAAAAAATGCTTTTCTTAACTCTAAGACACCGCTTCACGTGCCGCCTGCCACCTGTCAGCCGTTCAGGGCAGCACCTCGTTCTCCCTCGGAAAGCTGGCCCTTCCGGCGTGCGGCGACCCCACCGCCCAGGCCCCCTCGCCGCTCCAGAGCTCCAACGAGCTGTGCGCGCGGGGCAGCCGGAAGCCGGTGGGGGAAATGAAGTAGGGATGGGGGAGAACGAGTCCCCGTCGGATCTCCCCCATTCTCCGCCTTTCTCTCCAGGTCTGTCTGGGGACCGTGCGCCGTGCCCTTGAGCCCCGCCCGTGGCCTTGAACATGAGTGCTCGGCGAGAAGAGCTGAAGGACCGGACCATCATCAGAATAGCGGCCCACCTGCCGGACCTCATCCTCTACGGAGACTTCTCCCCGGCACGGCCCTCTGTGGACTACTTCGATGGCGTCCTGATGTTTGTGGATATCTCAGGCAAGCGCTCGAGGGATGTCGAACGTGGGTGCGTAGTGGGCAGCGCTGGATGGCTGAGCGGGGCCGTGCCATCGAGCTTTCTGTGCCGTTGAGAGCAGACACTCCCCCCGAAAGAGCATCTTCGCCGACCGAGCCCATCCGCCCACGGGCGGCCGTTGGGTTACGACACCCAAGCCCCACACCTGGAACTTCAGGCTCCCGTGCCCCGGCCCCAAGGTCACCGAGTCAACCCCCACGCTGCACGCACGTCCCAGGCAGGGGTGACCTCAAGAAACAGTCCCTCTGCACGTTGTTCCCATCGTCCCAGTAAACGGGCCACGGCTCCCGAGGTGCCTGAGTGGTGTGCATTGTCACGACCAAGGGGTGGACGTTCTAGACCCATAGCCATTCCTGTGCAAGCTGAGAGCTCCAGAGGGAGGCGGTGCCTGGCGCTCGTCCCTGGCCCGTCAGGTCAGAAGCAGAGATGGCGGAGGTCGCGTGGCTGGCACTGCACCGGCCACACCGACCTCTAAGGAGCAGCCCGGCCCACTGCCCGCTGCCCGCCAGGGCGCCGCCCTCTTCACCTGCCTCTGTCGGGCGCCAGCAGCCAGGGCGACTGCCTGCCCTTCTGTTGCAGGCTTCACGGCCATGACTGAGAAGTTCAGCACTGCCATGTACATGGACCGCGGGGCCGAGCAGCTGGTGGAGATGCTCAACCACTACATCAGCGCCATAGTGGAGAGTGAGTGTCCCCGCGCCCTGGCTAGGACGCGGCCAGTTCCCCGCCTGTCTGTGTGTGTCGGTGATGACCCGACGGCGCACCACCGCTGGGCCCTGTGTCCGTCCCCCAGGAAATGAGCAGGGAGCCAGGGTTTCTGCACACGGCACAGCACACGTGGAGGGGTGTGGCCCTCACTGGTACACGGTATCCGAGGGAAAGACTGCTCTGCACTCGTTGAAGGGTGAGCCAGAGATTGCTTTAAAAAGAGCCGCAGTAGGGATCCCTTTAGCCGTATCCGGTAACCCCACGAAGCTGGCAATAGTACAATCCGAAGGTAGGCACGAGGAGGGTGCTAAATGAACAGGTGAGTATTCGCGGGAAGGTCCTCAGGAATCTGCGCCCGGACGGTGGGCTCCGAGGCACGCGGAGCCGACCGAGAGGCCGGGCCTCCTTCTCGGCCTCTGCCCGAGGTCTTGCGGGCGCCACTCACGTGGACTGTTCGCGGAGAACAGGATTCACTCTCTCTTGGCACACTCGGGGCCTCATCTCTTATCGGGGTCTGGGCTCCTCGGTCGCGCCGTCACGGCAGCCACCGGACGGAGCGCAGCGCTCCGGAGACGCAGAGACTCTGTCTCACCCTTCTTCGATTCCACTCGCACAACGGCCTTCAATGCACCTGTGCTGAAGCGTCAATAAGATGGAAAAAAGCATCCGTTCACGTCATCAACCCTCAGTAAAGAAACTCGAGCCGGTGACAGACAAAGCCTGACCTGGCCGTGGCTGCGGCTTCCCGGTCTCCCGGTTTCCCGGCTCTCGGTTCTACAGACCCGAGGCACGGTCCACTCGCCCCGGTCACTCACGCCCCAGCTCCTAGGGTGTGTCTGGAGCGGCGAGGAGCCTGCCAATCCCACAGGAGCAGGGTGGGCGCCCCTCCTTTCCTACTTCTCCTTCCCACTCACAGAGAGACAGGGTGCGTGTGTCCTCTGGTTCAATGCACTCACGCAGGAGACCCCCGGCAGCTCGGGGTGGCCTGCCGGAGAGGACAGCTTCAGGACCAGTCTCCTCTCCGCACTGCTGCTGTCCTCTTGGCCTAGTTTCTGTGCTGTGGAGGAAGATGGGTTCTTTGTGTTAGCTTTAAGCAGTCAGCGTTTGATTCCTAATTTTTTTCCTTTTTTTCTCCTCCCCCACAGAGGTGTTGCTTTTTGGAGGAGACATCCTGAAATTTGCAGGTACGGGGGCTCCCTGAGCCCAGGGGGGTGGCGGGGGGCCTGTGCCCTGACACAGGAGGCCCCTCAGAGGCAGCGGTGGCCGGGGCCAGGGCTCCAGGAGGCTTGTGTGCAGCTGCCACGCACAGCCAGCGGATTCCCCAGGGCGGGTCACGAGCCCCGCCCGGTGCGCCTGTCCCCTCCAGGGGACGCGCTGCTGGCCCTGTGGAAGGTGGAGCGGAAGCAGCTGAAGAACATCATCACGGTGGTGGTCAAGTGCAGCCTGGAGATCCACCAGCTGTTCGGGGCCCAGGAGTCGGAAGGCCTGGATGTCCGAGTCAAGATAGGTGAGCTCCGGAGGAGCGGGCGAGACTGCCGGGGGTCACCGACAGGGGGCGCATGTCCCGGGGAGATGAGAACAGGCAGCTGGCGCCCCAGCTCCAGGGCAGGAGGCGGCTGGGTAGGCCCGCGCGCGGTGGAGGCTTCCTCTGACCGCGACGTGACATCGTGGAAGCCGGGTGTCGCCCTCGGGTGGCACCGTCACCCCAAGGCTGTGGCGTCCCCGAGAAGCCGCGCCGCCGGGGAGCCGCGCAGCGCCTGTGCCGACCCGCCGCTCGCCCCCTCGCCAGGACTGGCCGCCGGCCACATCACCATGCTGGTCTTCGGGGACGAGACGCGGAACTTCTTCCTGGTGACCGGCCAGGCGGTGGACGACGTGCGGCTGGCGCAGAACATGGCGCAGATGAACGACGTTATTCTGTCGCCGAACTGCTGGCAGCTCTGCGACCGCAACATGATCGAGATCGAGCGGATTCCGGATCAGAGAGCAGTGAAGGTGCGCGGGGTGCCGCCCCCCGCAGGGGGTTCTGGGAGGCTGTGCCAGGGGCCACTGCGGCTCGGGGAAGGCCCCGGGAAGGCAGGTTCCGTGAACACGGGGCTGCGGCCCGGGGGTGGAGGGCGGGGGACGCTCAGTCCGGGGCACAGACGTCCAGGGCTTCAGTCCAGAGACGCCTCCTCCGTGGGCAGCCAAGGCGGCTGCGTGCCAGGGGATGGGACCCGGCCTCTCGTGGTAACTGAGGACTCGGGGGCCCCCTGGGGGGCTAGTGCCGGCTTCAGGAAGGGGAAATGCCCCCTGGCCAGGCCCTAGGAGCCGAGGGTCCTCATTCTGAAGGCTGCCATTGGCCCTCACCGGCACTACTCCGCTCCCTCCGCTCGGGGCGAGGGATCGCCGGGGCGAGGAGACTGTTTGGGTGGCCCTGCCGGGTGGGACCACCGTGAAGCTCCCTGGAAGACGGACTGGACGCGCAGCTGGCCTGGGGTGCGGCCCACGAGAGAACTGTGCTCGCAGAGCGTGGGCGGGGGTGGGGGGGCGGCGCGAAGGGCGGAGGGATACTGGCGAGGATGAGGCGCCCCGCTGCGCCTGAGCGCGCAGCCCAACACCCACCCTCTCGCCCTCCTGCTCGCCCGTCGCCTCGCCCTGTCCCCCGTCTGCAGCGACTCCTTACGCCTCTCAGGATGGTGGTGATGGTTCACTAGTGTTAGACTCACAGAGAAAGTTCAGAAATAACAGGGAGTTCCCGTGTTCCTTTGCCCAGCCTCCCCGAGTGGCACCGTCCTTCCCAGCCGGCGAGCTGGAGGCCAACCCAGAACAGCAGCGCTGGCGCGGGGCCGCTCGCTAACGAGAGGCCGGCGTGGGCCCCGCCGGCTTTCCCGCCAGCGTTGTCCTCGGGGCGCTCCCGGTCCTAGCCGAGGCCTCCCGGTCCTAGCCGAGGCCTCGCCCCGCAGCCACTGCTGTTCTCGCCGGGTCCCCTGCGGCCGGCGGCCACAGCAGTGCTTCCGTGTGCCCGGTCTTCTCTGACCTGGGCGCCCAAGGGGAGTGCCGATGGGTCCCTTGGTCGCCGGTCCCTCCCTCTGGTGTTTCCTGGCCTTTTCTCATTATCCGACCAAGCTTGTCCGTTTTGGGGCAAGAACACCACAGAAACGAGGTCGTGCCATTGTTTGCGTATCCTGCCGTGGGATTCATGACCTTGACTTGAGTCGTATGCCCGGGGACGTTTCCAGTACCTTTTGGGGCATCGACCCTTTTGCCCCTTTCTCAAGAAAGAAGTGGTGTGCAGTTTAACCAGGTTTTATTTGAATTACAATGTTATGAAAGGCAAAAAAAAAAAAAAAGTTCCAGAAGTGGAAGAGTACACAGGTTAGCCCCATCTGGCCCCTGGAACGGCCCTCCGTGAGTGCACTTGAGACTGCCAGCTTAACCACCGATTGCAGCGGCGGTGTACGTAATCACGTCCAGTCGCAGACCTGCACTGTTTAAGTGCCGCCTGTTTACCACGTCCCGGGCACTCGGAAGCGTGCTCCCTGCCCTTTCTGCCGAGAGAGTGCCCCCCGAGGGCCAGGCAACCCCCCAAATAACCGAAACCTTCCCTCTTTTTAAATTTAGGTTAATTTCCTAAAACTACCCCCGACTTTTAACTTCGATGAGTTTTTCATGAAGTGTATGATGTTCATGGATTATTACCCTTCTGGCGACCACAAAAGTAAGTGCCCCCCCCAGACAAGAACCCCTGCCTCGCTCTGCTGCTCCCCCCAACCCCGGCCCTCTCACCAGGCGAGCCTGGGGCTCAGTGCCCCCTCTGCTCCCCAGTCTCTTCCGTCTTTACCCGCCCGGTGAACTCGGGCCCAGGCGCCGCAGGGCCGTGTGCGCGCCTGGGCTTCCAGCGCGAGTCCCCGACACCTAGCCCCTCGCCCCTCTCCCCGCCCGTCTGTGGAGACTGCTCATGCCACAGCGCGGATGACCGATCCTGGCGGCCTGTCCTCGGGCCTCCCCCTCGGTGGCTGGCCCTAGATTACTCTCTTTCTCTGGACACTATCTTCACTGCTTTGCTCAGGTTCCGGAATATCTTCCCTGGTTTTGCTTTTACCCGTCCATGCCCTAGATGGTGGTGACTCCAGAGTCTGCCCTTGACCCTCTGGTTCTCCCTGCTCGCCTCTCGGAGAGCACGCATCCCCGCTTAACGCCCTGTGACCCCCAGCAGGGCTGGGCGAGGGGGAGGACAGCGGGTGCCGGGGACACAGAACGTCAGGGCATCCGACTCGCCGTCTCGCAAGGTGCCTGCCTCCCCCACGGCCCTGCCCCAGCTGCCAGAGCGCAGCCCCGACCTCTGACCTGCGTGCCCCGTGAACTCGCACAGAAACCGCCCCCCGGGCCAGCCCCGCCGGCTGGCAGACCGGCGCTCCCACGGGAATGTGTTGTTGAGAAAACGATGAAAGAAGACGAGTTCAGGGACAGGAACAAACTTTACGTGACAAAGCCAAGCGGGCCGTGTATTTAACACAGCAGACAGTTTCCTTTCAGAGAACTGCAGACTAGGGCAGCGGTCCAGATGCGTTAGCAGGGTGGGGGGTGAAGTGCAGGGAGAGACACGCGGAGCCAGAGCCCCCGCCTGGTGGGGCCGCACGGTAAACCCGGCCCGGGCTAAGGAGGCCCAGAGCCGGTTTGGAACCGGGGACTTGGCGGCCTGGGTGGACTTTTCGGCCAAGCAGAGCCTCCCTCCCGCAATGAGCCGCCAGCCTCCTGAATCGTCCTCCTGCTGGTCCCTCAGCCCCATCGCCGCCTTCACTCCATCACTGCCGTCCGCTCCCATTGTCCCCTCATCTGTCCATTCCCATCGCCTGCGGCGACAGCGTTAGACCCAGTGTGGAGGGGGAAGCCCCCCTCCCCGAGCCCCAGCACCCAACGGTTAGGACGGGGCTTTGAGCCGCACGCCGTTGGGTTCTGGGAAGACCCACAACCTCCGAGAACTTCTCGCTGGATTTCCCTTGGTCCTGTTTAGCCACTCGGTGTCCCCTGGCTGACACTGCCCCAGGGAGTGGGGGCTGGGAGGCGCCCCTCCCTGCACCACAGGGCTGGCCTCCCTTTCTGAGCCCGCCCCCCTCCTCTGCCCTTTTAGACCTCTTGAGGCTCGCCTGCATGCTGGAGTCTGACCCTCAGTTGGAGCTGTCCCTGCAAAAGTATTTGATGGAAAGCATACTGAAGCAGGTATGTTCTTCACTTAATGTGCTGGCTCTGGGGTGCTGGGGGCCTTGGACAGCTGGGGAGATCAGGAACACCGTAGCTGGTCATCTGTTACGTTGAGGGTGAACTGGCATTCTCCACGTGTGGGGAGCTGTGAAATGTACTGTTCACGTCAGGACACTTTTCAGAGTTAGGGGGGCACCGTTCCTAGTTACACTGGGACAACAGACGTACACCGGGATGGGCGTCTTCCACAACGGGGCAAACCAGAGCGCTCCCAAGCGTAGAAGAACCCAAGGCCACCCTTTCCATGCGCGCCGCGTGGAGAGGTCTGCGTGGGCGAACAGCGGTACGCCACTTCTCCGAGTCGCTCGCCCTAGATCTTAAGCTTTGAAAGTTGACAACACAGATGATTAGAACTCCCAGGACTACCGCCAGCCCCCGAGATTTCCCCTTTTGTTCTGAAGAAAAGAGTAAGCGGAGACCCCTCCGAGTGAAAAGAAGGCACATCCTTGAACCAAAGCAATCCTGCGTTCTTAGCCTCCACGTTGGTCCAAGATAACAGTCTCCCAGGGGCAGGGGTCTGGGCGGGGAGTGTTCCCGGCAGGACCTGCAGAGGGCGCTCTGTAGCATTTATGCTGTGTCTCCGGTGTGGGTGCGCAACTGTTGAAGTCCTCAGGCCGGTTAAGGTAACATCGAGCCTATTCCTCAACTTTCATCCTGTCTCAAGCTAAGGAGTTTTGCTGGCTTGGCTGTGGTGACTCCATCTTGTCCTTCACTCTGTCCCCAGGGAGCTGAAGGGACACAGAGGGCAAGCCCTGTGCCCCTGCCCGAGGCCGCCTGTCTCCAGGGCACAGGGCGCCTGAGGGACGTGTGCTTGTCCGTTCCAAACCAAAACCCAGGCGACGGGGTCCAGTAGAATAGCCTCTAATTATGTAATCATTTTGTTCGATAGATTTTAATACTCGGCAATTAATGTTGTCCATGTGTTTAATATGGATTATGTAATAAATTTGTTTGAAAAACCGTCACGTTGGTTAGTTTGAAATAATTATGTTGTCTTTGACGAGAGCAGGACTGTCCCAGCTAGTTAGGACATGTGGCTGGGCTATCCCCTCCCCCTCAATGCCCCCTCCCTCTCGCTCACCCCTGCCCCCCTACCCGCAGTCCCCTTTTCTGGCTGCAAAACGTGTGTCCATGGTCTGTGGGTAATCTGACCCTTCTGTGCTGTTTGGGGAAGGGAAAAAATGCGATGGTTTTCCTCCGTCGATTTGCCATGCACTTAATTCCACACAATTCTAGAATGAAACCAGGCAGGCAGGATGACTGGAGAACCCCGTCCCTGGAGGGCAGGGGGAGCTGAGTGAACCGCGCCACGCCAGGGAGGCCAGGGAAGCACGGTGCCACAGTGCGGCGGATGGAACGTCGGGCTAGGCATCTGGAGGTTGGGGTTCTGGCCTGCAGCCGTCTCCCCAGGCAACCTTGGATGACCTGCGGTATTCGTCCCTGCCTCAGCCATCTAGTCAGGCAGAGGGGCTAGCAATGGGGATTTCATTTCACCGGAGGATAAAGCAGGACAGGATATGAAAATACGTCAGAAAGCACCAGGCTGTGAACATCTAAGGTCGAGTTCCATAGTTGTGCTAGTCTCATCCCTAAGCTGTGAAGCAGCCGAAGGAATGGTGGTTCTCTCTTGCTGGGAGGGCTCCGGTCGGCACGGAGGAGCAGCGGCAGGGCCCAGGGGGCTGTCGCCTTCCCCAAATCAGCAGATGGGTGAGTTCCCGCTGCAACAGGTTCTGCTAGTGAATTCACTTCCGCTTGCTCCGCTCTGGGCCGGCTCTGCCCTGCTGTGCCCACTCACACAGCCCGGCAGCTTCCGCGCCCCCAGAGAACCTCCACGGGCTCCTTCCCACCCAGGGACCATTTCTCGTGGGGGGTGGGGTGAGGCTGAGAAGCAAGACCCGCACCCCCGGCCCCAGCCAAGGACAGACGCTGAGGAAAGTCTCTCTCTACCTGGCAGATTGACGACAAACAGCTTCGGGGGTACCTGTCTGAGCTGCGCCCCGTGACCATTGTGTTTGTGAACCTGATATTCAAGGACCAGAACAAAGCCGAGGTGCTAGGCCCGGCCATCCAGGAGGCCTCCGTGCACATCAACTCCGTCGTGCGGTTCTTCCGAGGCCAAATCAATAAAGTCTTCATGTTCGACAAGGTGAGTGGGCGCCTGGGGCGGGGACCTGTCCGCGGTTTGAAGTCTGGGCTGGTGCCCAGGGACACTGGAGGGAGGGAGGGAGGGAGGGCTGTTTCTTAGACTTACGCTCAGCACCGTGCAGCCCGTGACCTTGGCCACCAGACAGAGAGACACCAGACAGCAGCACTCACACAAATAGCTCAGTGCCACCCATTTGTCTCTGGAGCCAAAGCAGCCCTTCCCGGGCTGCAGCCGTGCCGGTGATGCTGCACCAGGAGTTATCTGAAGTTTGCTAAAAACAGAGCAGGGGCGAGGGAGCTCCTGAGGGAGCCCGGTTCGGAAAGGGAGCCGCGCCCACCTGCTGTGTGCCGCCTCTGTCCCCTCACAGGGCTGCTCCTTCCTCTGCGTCTTCGGGTTCCCCGGGGAGAAGGCGCCCGACGAGGTCGCTCACGCCTTGGAGAGCGCCGTGGACATACATGGCTTCTGCTCTCAGGTCCACAAGATCTAGTGAGTGCAGCCCCTGCTCCCGTCTGCCGGTCCCCGGCCCTTCTGCGGGGTTCCGGGAGACAGGGCAGGGTCCAGGAGGGCAGGAGAGGGCGCCCCCAGCTCTGCTGCAGTAGGACGGGGCGGGGGGGGGGGCGGAGGCAAAGGGGAGAAAGGACACACCTCGAAGGCCGGCGTGTGCCACGTTTGCGGAGACGCCGACTGGGTGTCTCTGTGCTTCCGGCCGGCTGCTCGGTAGAGTCCGAACGCCTCATACCGCGCTGGAGTCCTGAGCTGGTTTCTGATGGCTGGGGGGTGAAACGGGTCCTTGGGTTGGAACTGGATAGGCTGCCGGGGCCTCAGCTGGGCCCGCTCACAGGACAGCTGGTGCTGGGAGGTTTGCCGTCCGCAGCCCTGGCCGCCCCCGCGGCTGGGCCCTCAGGCTTCCCCAGTCTCAGCATCCCCGTGACCCTGCCCCGCAGCCCTGCCCTGGCCAACTGCAGCGGGTCACCCCCGCCCTCCCTAAGCGTTGCAGCCCCCGGTCATCTCCCTGTGCGGTGGGTGTGTTTGCAAGGGCGGATCTTGATGCCACACCTCTCCTGAACTACAATGGCTGGTTCTTTGCAACAGTAGCAGAGAGTTACTTAGTCCCCAACTAGTCCTTTCCGGTGATGAGAGGTTACTTGCCAGAGGAGTAGCTCAGATGAATGTTTAAAAGTAGCAGAAAAGTGAACGGAGGAGTTAGCACTTCTGAGAACCTAGCTCGGGGTCTGGAACTCTTTATCCCTCCAGGCCACGTGCAGCTGCCCTGAACTGAGTCCAAAGGGAAGGGAGTAATCGACTGAACATCCCTTCCCACCCCTCCCCGCCCCTTCATCACCTTGTCCCCCCCCAACCCCTGCCCTCCCCCGGCTCACTGCCTCTCTTTCCCCACAACCCTCGTCTTGCCGGGGGCCAGCACCGTTTCCGTGGGCGTGACCAGTGGGACTGTCTTCTGTGGCATCGTGGGACACTCGGTGAGGCACGAGTACACAGGTGAGCTGGGCCGGCCTGTCCCCGCTCGCCTTCCGGCGCACACCGGGCCCTGCCCCCGGGCGTGGGGAAGGGACAGAAGGAGTGAGGCGTGGACCCTGCCCTCAGCAAGTCTGCCGTCTTCCGGACGGAGCCGAGCCGTGCGGCTCTGCCCACGGACGCGGTGGGTGCACCGTGTGCGTTCTGGGGCTTTGCGTGAGACGGAGGGAGTCGAGAGAGAGCGGGGGGAGTGAGGGGCCTTTCTAAGCGATTTCCTGTCCACGTGAAACATGACTCTTCTTAGCGCCTGGGATGGGCGAGGACCGCTACTTACAAACTGTGACTGTTGGCGTCACCGGCGGACAGTGCTAATCTCAACAGAGAACGGCAAGGAGGTGTCGTCTCAGGATGTCACTGCTCTTTCTGCCGCCTCCCTCTGCAGTCCCACTTAGGGCTTCAGATGCTCAGAGACAGCACCTCTGAAACCCTGAAACGGTTATGCCTGCAATGACGCCATTTCTGAGATTTCCTTCCACCTGCTGCGGCGTGGAGAGTGGGTGGGGCCGCGGCCGGGGCGGGTAGGCTGTGGGCTGACGGCTTTGGGGCCGGGCGGTGGGCACACGAAGGTTCTCGGGACTGTGTGGTCACGCGCGGCCAGACTTCCCCGTAACAAACAGGTCTTTTTACGGAGCGCCCGGATCAGAAGTATTTAAGTCTGCGGGCGGCCAGGCCCTGCTGGAAGCGGTGCACGTGTGTTAACTCAGGAATCCCCGCCAGCTCCCGGCTGAGATCGGCTCTGTTGTCCCCAACGTACAGAGCAGGAGACCGGGGCGTGGAAGGGTCCAAGTAATTGCTAGCGCACTAGGAAGAGGCAGAGCTGGGGGCCAGCCCCGTGTAGCTCGGGGCCGCGTCTGCGCACGCCCTGCCGAAACGGCCCCGAACCAGCCTGACCCACACGCCCTTTCCCGCCCCCTCGCCCACTCTGAAGCCGTCACCAGATGGAGGCGGCTCGTTTCAAAAACGAAACGCAATGACGAAGTGCAGGCCCAGACACACACACGGACGCAGACTTGTGCCTCACTTGGAGGTCAGTGGCCCAGGCCCGAGCTCCTGCCTGTCCGTCTTGTCGCCGGAGACTGAGGACAGCTCCCCTGAGGGCCCTGAGGCCTGTGCTGACCCCAGTGCAGGGCCGTCCAGTAGAGGGGCCCTCCTTCTCTCCGCGGACCCCCCCATTGCAACAGCAGAGTGAGTTAACTGCCTGCAGGTTCTCTCTCAATAGCCATTGGCTGAGTAGGGTAGTTGAAGGCGTGGCTTACATCATCCCCGAGAGGCAGAGGGCGTAGAGGCTTAAAGTGCCCCTTGGGGACAGTGCGTCTCAGGTCGCCGTGGGTCCGGTGGCCGTTGATCCCTGCCCTCTGCCCCCCCCTCCCGCTGCAGTCATTGGTCAGAAAGTCAACATCGCGGCCAGAATGATGATGTACTACCCGGGCATCGTGACCTGCGACTCCGTCACCTACAACTGCAGCGACCTGCCGGCCTACTTCTTCAAGGAGCTCCCGAAGAAGGTCATGAAAGGCGTGGCGGACCCCGGGCCCGTCTACCAGTGCTTGGGCCTGAACGAGAAAGTGTGAGTGTGGGCGCTGCCCGCCCGCGGCTCCTTGGGAGGGAAGTGGGGCAGCGGGAGAGCGGCCCAGCCAGCCGTCCCGGCCGCGAATCCAGCCTCTGGCCCCGGAGTCTGCTCCTCCCAGACCGAGACCCTTGTCCTCTCTGCTTCCTGCTGACACGGCGGTGCGTGGGAGGCCCCGTCCCGCCCCCGGTTCGGAGAGCCCGAGGGAGACTGCTCAGGGGCCGTGCACTCAGAACGGGGCCCCCTCCCCACTGGGCAATCTCTGTGGGCCACGTGGACCAACGTGAATTTTTATTTGCCGCGGGCTCTCGGGCCGGCCGGCTCTGACGCCGCTCTCTCCCCTCCCGCCCGCCAGCATGTTCGGGATGGCGTACCTGGTCGGCAACAGGAACGAGTGCTACCCGCTGCTGGGTAGGTACCGGCCTTGACTTTCAGACTCCTCTCTTGAACTGTAGCGAAGCACACGGAAATGTACACCAGTGATGGGTCTGCAGCCTCGGGAATCATCGTCACCAATGCACCTGTGAACACTGCTCAGACCAACGAGTGTGGGGGTGCTCAGGGAACCCCCACATGCTGATCTTTCCCTTCCCAAATAAATGGCATGGTAACGTCATGTAATTACACACTCCTTCCATTAATCAACAGAGAACGCCCAGGGCCCTTCGTAGTGATCCGTCCAGAAGGCAAGGTTTGGCCCCAAAAGAGTCTCCGGCTCTTTTGACAGAATTGCTGAGAGATTATGGCTAGCTTTCAGATTTTGATCTGGGCACCCCGTGGCATAATTTTTAAAAAATATTTTGTTTATTTTTAGAGAGGGGAAGGAGAAGAGAGAGAGAGGGAGAGAAACATCTGTGTGTGGTTGTATCTTGCGGGCCCCCTACTGGGGACCTGGCCTAAAACCCAGGCATGCGCCCTGGCTGGGAATTGAACCGGCAACTCCTTGGTTCCCAGGCCAGCACTCAGTCCGCTGAGCCACACCAGCAAAGGCTCTGTGGCATAATTTAAATGCACACAAAATAACAGTGACAGGGCTGCAATGTCAGCTGACTTTCATTTTCCTCTTTGCCTTTTCTAAATTACCATCTTTTCTATAGTGAGTATATGTTTTTTTTTAATTTTTAAAAAATATTTTATTTATTTACTTACTTTCAGAGAAGGGGGAAGGGAGGGAGAAAAAGTGGGAGAGAAACATTGGTCATTTGCCTCCCGCACGTCCCCCAGCCGGGGACCTGGCCCACAACCCAGGCATGCACCTTGACTGGGAATCGAACTGGTGACCCTTCAGTTTGCAGGCCGGTGCTCAGTCCGCTGAGCCACACCAGCCAGGGTGCACAATTTCTCATGTACAGCAGGCAACTTTCCTTCACAGAAGTAAAATAGTTGCAAATAAAATATCCTATCTGTGATTATTCAATATATGAGCCCTAACTATAATAATGTATTTCCTAACAGAAGTAACCTATGGATGACTTCTGTGTTATAGAGAAGAAAAACAAGAATTAGAGTCAGCCCTGGTTTCATTCCCAGTCATGCAATCCAGGCAAACTCCATTTTTCTGCACGAAAATTAGGTGGGCATTCTGGTGCACATTATCAGGGTACTTTCCCTCACGACATGTGGGGATCAGAACTGGGGGAAACACTGTATCGTTGACTGGAAAGCCCTAGGAAAAGATTTTAGAACATTTTAAAGTGCAGAACCCTCGACAGAAGTCCACGAACCACGCCGTGGGAGGGGATTCCGAAGGTCTTCTTGGGCGTGCTATCGCCGTGCGCCTTTTTATGTTTCTAGACTCTTCTGTGTTGACTGAGTTTGCCCCCTTTTAAAAAAAAAACAAAACCGGCAGGGCGCGAGAGGGAGATCAACTACTTCCGGAGCACCATGAAGGAGTTCCTGACGTCCAACTGCAGCCAGGTGCTCATGTACGAGGGGCTGCCGGGCTACGGGAAGAGCCAGATACTCATGGGCCTGGAGTACCTGTCCCAAGGTGAGAACCACAGGTGAGTGGCTCGCAGCGGCCCCTTGTCTCCCGCCAGCCCGGAGAACCCCGATGCCCTGAAAAGCTTGCTCCGCCTTCATGCCCCTCTCCTTGGCATAACTGGCCTTCTGCCAACCCCGCACGATCTCTTGACCATGGGGCGCCCTGCACCCTTGTCCCAAACACACAAATAATGGTGCCCACAGTGAGCCCAGAAGATGGGACGCCCGCTGCCCCCAGGGAGCCTGGTTTAAGGGCAGACAGGGCTGGGGCATCAATGCGGTGAAGCTTCCCACGCAACCCCAAGCGTGTGGACAGGTCGAGAACCCCTGGCCAAGAGGTGGGGACCAGACTGGGCCGCAGAACAAGCCCATAAAGTGACCAGCCCGCTGCCCATCACTGGCCCAAGCCCTGTAGCCCTCTCTGGGAGCGGGAGTGGGGGATGACAGGTCCCCGAGTTCCCTCCGGGACGCACAGCTGGGGCCTGTGTCCGCAACACACGTGTCCCCAGGGCTCTCTCGGGGACAACCTGTGTAGCAGCTGCGTGTGCTGGTCAGCCTGGTGTTCGGTATCGGGGGCAGGGACCGAGAGGGTGATGGCCCTGGCCCCCGCGCTTCTACAGCCTGACCTGAAGGCTGGGAGGGGGGAGGAACGCCTTCTAGCCTTATGTTGTTTTTAGCTGCATTTTACTCTTTTTAAACGCCAGGCCTGAAAGAGGCCAGGTGTAAAATCCCCTCAACGTTGTGAAGGAGACAATTTGTGGTAGCCAGAAGACACCCAGGCCCCCTTCACTCCGTCCCTCAGGGAGGTAGCTCCGCGCCCCGGGGCCTGTTGTGCTCCGTGTCCGTCTGCCGCAGCCGCTGTGCCTGGCCGGTTTGGTCTGCAGAGAAGCGTTGTCTCTGAGTGCTGGGGGCTGGAAGTCCGAGAGTGCAGCGTCAGCCGGGGGAGGTTCCTTCCGGCAGCCGCGAGGCACAGCCTGTTCTGGGCTTCCCCCCGGCTGCCGGGGCTTCGCTGCCACGCTGGGCGCTCCCCGGCGTGCAGAAGCATCACCCAGCCTCTGCCTTTCTGCGCCTGGCCTGGTGTTCTCCCTGGGTGCGGTCCAAACGTCCCCTTATAAAGACACCGTCACGTGGGATCAGGGTCCCGCCCTGCTCCTCGCCTCCACTTCCCTGCACCTGCAGTGACCCTGCCCCCAGATGAGGTCCCACTCTGCGGTCCTGGGGGTTAGGGCTACAACACGCAGACCTGAGGGGGCGGAGGGAGGACACGAGTCCCCCCTCCGGACGGTCTTCACGTCCGGATGGAGGACAGCCGACTCCTGCCCTGGAGGAGCTCTTGCGGAAGAGAGAGGGGACAGTAGCGATGGACGGTGGGGAGGACAGTGCCAGAGGCACGCATGGAGTCGGGTGGCAGCCGAGAGCCAGAGGGGGTGTGACCTGACCTCGGGGCATCAGGGAAGGTCGCAGGTGGCGGGGGCACAGCGGGTGGGTGGATGTGGTGCCGCCCCGGGCTGGGGAGGCCGCCGAAGCAGAGGCCTGGAGAGTCCGCAGCTCCGGACGCGTGGGTCACTGGGGGTGGAAGGCAGGCTCCCGGGCAGAGCCTGGCCGGCAATGACACCGCGAAGACTTGGGAAGTCCTGCATGTGACCTAAAGGAGTCCAGACGGACACCTCCAGGGAGCAGCAGCCCCTGAAACACTGGGGCGGGAGAGGAGATTCGCACCTCTCTCGGCACATCAGCCCTGTGCAGGCAGCGCACTCGGCGTGAGGACGCCGGGCAGGGGCCGCGTGGCCGAGAGCGCCGGGGCCCGCGGCGCGGGGGTGGGGGCCGCCGTGCGGGAGAAGGAGCGACAGCGGGGGGAGCTGTCGCAGCTTCTGATCCCGGTGGAGCCAGGCCACGCAGGGGACGCAGGAATGAAGAAGGGTTTCCGGATCGAGTGGGGGGGTTTCTGTCGTAACAGCTGCGTGTGAAGGGTCAGAGCGTCCCTTCAACCTGCGTTACTGTCAAAAACTGCACGATGCGAGAGCTCTCCCGCGGAGCCGCTCCCTGCGTGCGCCCTCCTGACTCTCGGCTCTCTTGTGAACAGGACCATTGCTATCGCACTGACTAAGGTCAGCTTCCACCAAAACTTTTATACCATCCAGATACTCATGGCCAACGTCTTAGGTCTGGACACCTGCAAACACTACAAAGAGCGGCAAAGCAACCTTCAGAGCAAAGTCAAGGCGCTGCTGGACGAGAAGTTCCACTGCATCTTCAACGACATTTTCCACGTCCAGGTAACGGCCCAGAGCCGGGCTTGCGCCAGCGCCAGCACCGAGGCAGGTGCGGCCGGCGCTCCCTGACGCTCTGTGCCTCGGCGTCCCCTCGGCCTTACGGTTCTTCTCTTTTCAGACCCCCCAGCTCCCGGGGCTGTCTTCCCACACTCGATACTCTCCTCACTCTGCCCACAGTTCCCGATTACGCGAGAGGTCTCCAAGATGAGCGCCTCAAAGAAGCAGAAGCAGCTGGAGGCGCTGTTCATGAAGATCTTGGAGAAAGTGAGGGCGCCTGTCTGTGGGCCGAGCCGTGGGGGAGCAGGCCTGGGTGGCTGGGCCCAGGGCCGCACGGCCTCGGGGTCCGGGCTCCACCGGCCGGAAGCTCTGCAGTGCTCCCCTCTCCTCCGTCCTCCAGACCTCGCGCGGAGAGTCTGTTCGGGACGTGGCTACACTTGACCAGAGTCCCTTGATGCGCCTCCTGGGAGTGCGGCCCCCCGAAAACCCCCCTCTGTGTGAGATGCCTCACGTCTAGGGGGCCGTGTGTGTAGGCTGTGTGGTCAGGCTCCCGAGCTGGAACCCGTGGGCCTGCTCCTTGTCACCTGGGCAACCTTGAGCGGGCGACCTAGCCTGTCTGTGCTTCCGCTGTGTCACCCACAAAACGTGCAACAGTGGCACCCAGCTCACGGGGCTGCAGGGCTTAAAGGGCACAGCCAAAGTCAGCTCCCTCTGCACGGCGCCGTCCCTGCTCTCTGAGGAGCACTGGGGGCCCCTGTCCAGGAGCCGCGCGTCCCCCAGGCCTGCGGGAACCCCCCTCATTTCAGTGTCTGATAGTGCTCTCGTTCCCCCCCACGCCGGTGCCCTTTCTTCCTCGTTCGACCCCGACCCCGGGTTTAGCTGGTGGCGAGTTCACCCTCGGCTCCCAGACGAGGCTGGCTGCACCATCAGTGACAGTGTTCTCGGCGTCCCATCCGGGAAGAGCTGCCTTCCTGGTGACACTATGGGGCCGTCAGGGTGAACTCCCTGCACGCGTGTGACAAGGCAGGCTGTGGTTCTTTGCAACGATGGCCTTAGGAGAGCTGATGTGTGGAAGGAGCCTTTGCCGCTGTTCTTTATAAAGACACAGAGGGAAAGAACGGGTGACCCGGCCTCTTCTCCGGTGACCCCGAGGGAAGCGAGCCCGGCCTGGAGTGGGGGCAGCGGGCAGGGCGGTCCGGCACGCGGCAGCACGGCCCTGCCGGACAAGGGCCGGCTCTGAGGTGTCAGGATACTGCGGCCTCAGTCCCCAGATGGCGCCTGGCCCCCACGGAGACCCCATCAACACTTAAGGAGTGAATAATGATTCAGACCTGGCAGGGACGGGCAGCGTACACAAGAAAAGGGTCCCAGGACCTGTTTTAAGTGTAACAGAGGCCAGAGGTACCTCGGCCAGGGGCTGGGTCCACCTCCTTGAGCCCCATTGCCCCCAGCACCGGCTCAGTGCTGCCCTGTCCCTCTGTGCTGGACAAGCACTGGGTGACTAAATGGTACATAGCTCTCCCTAGGGGGCCTCTGTTTGCCAATAGGTTAAAATGACACGTAGTAGCCCTGGCTGGTGGGGCTCAGTGGATTGAGCGCCAGCCTGTGAACCAAAAGGTCTCCAGTTCAATTCCCAGTCAGGGCACATGCCTAGGTTGCAGGCCAGGTCCCCAGTAGGGGGCGCGTGAGAGGCAACCACACATTGATGTTTCTCTCCCTCTTTCTTCCTCTCTTCCCCTCTCTCTGAAAGTAAATAAGTAAAATCTCAAAAACAATTTTTTTAGACCCTTTGATATCAGATAAAATTTTTTTTAGATTTTATTTATTTGTAGGGAGGGAAGGGAGGGAGAAAGAGAGAAAGAAACATCAATGTGTGGTTGCTGGGGGCCGTGGCCTGCAACCCAGGCATGTGCCCTGACTGGGAATCGAATCTGCGATGCTTTGGTTCGCAGTCCACGCTCAATCCACTGAGCTATGCCAGCCAGGGCCCAAAAGAAGTGTTTTTTAAATGGCATGTAGTAAACACCCCTTACTGTATGTAGTGGTGATTTACGTGGCCACATCCCACCTGTCCTACAAATCTGCATCCTCTTTGCACACAGATCTGACCAAGTAAGAGCCCATTCCCACCAGCTCTGCCAAGCTGCTACAAATTCCAAGTCGGGGGAATCTAAATTAACATGGGTTTACTGGGAGGAAAATATTGAATGCCAACGCGTGCACCCCGCGGATGCACAGGCAGACGGACCCACACGGGTGCGCAATCCCCGAGTCCCACAGCAGTTTTCTCTCTGTTTCTGTCCCTCGTCCAGACCGTGAAACAGGAAAGGATCATCTTCATCATCGACGAGGGCCAGTTTGTGGACCCGGCCTCCTGGGCCTTCCTGGAGAAGCTGATCCAGACGGTGCCCATCTTCATCATCATGTCCCTGTCCCCGTTCTCCGAAACGCCCTGTCCGTCCGCCAGCACCATAATAAAGAACCGGAACACCACCTACATCACCCTGGGCGCCGTGCAGCCCAGCGACATCCGCAACAAGGTCTGCCTGGACCTCAACGTCAAGGGCATCCCCAAAGACCTGGACCTGTGAGTGACCTGCTCCCGTCCCCAGGGCTCGATGCCCGAGTTTGCCGCCCGGGTCCTGGCCTCACCAGATTCCTTGAGTTGTGGCGTAAAGCGCCTCTCTCAGGATCCTCGCCCGGCCCGTCTTCCCAGGGGGCCATTCTCCGGCCGGGCGGGAGGGATGCCGCTCTCCTTCTCTTTGCCACAGTCTTGGCTGTGCCCACTCAGACTGCTGGGTGACATCTGCTCTGCTTCCCTTCCCTCTGCTGGGCACGGGTGTGCGCCGATCCATCCCTAGTCAGGACATTGTGTGAGGCAAACTGGCAACGTGGAAGGCCACAGCCTGTAACTGAGCTCGGTCCTGCTCAGCGGGCAGTGAGTGGCGGGGCGGGGCCTGGTGTCGGCAGGTCTGTCCGCGCACACCGAGGGCTGGCTGTGCAGTCAGTGCCGCGGGGCCTGCTCAGTCGCCCCCTCCCGGGCTGGACGGGGGGGCTCCCCCGAAGCAGCACCTCTCCCTTCGCTGGCTGCTCACAGCCCGCCTGGTATCCGCCTCGCTCCTCTCCAGCGAGGTTGCCTAGCTTCTGTAAGAAACATTTAAAGTACCAACGGGAACATTTTAATGGTCACTTACTAGGTGAGGAAGGAGAAGCAAGACTGAGAATGTACCTTAGTATGTAGTTGTGGCTTTGGAAAGAGCTAAATGGTTTATGTAATTAGAAAAATGAAAGACAGGAAAGAAAAAAAAAAGCAATCCCTAAACCCAGCAAATGAGCCGAGACCTGTGCAGAATGAAGAGATTGTTTTCCGGTCATCCAGAAGACCCAGTTTTCCCTCCCGAAGGGCGGCTCTTCCAGGTACACAGCCGCCCCGCCCCCCCGCAGGTACCTGGTGGAGGGCAGCTGCGGGATCCCCTTCTACTGCGAAGAGCTGCTCAAGAACCTGGACCTGCACCGCGTGCTCGTCTTCCAGCCGGTGGAGTCTGAGGAGAAGACCAACGTGACCTGGAAGAACCTGTTCAGTGAGTGCCCGCCGCTCAGCCCTCTCTCCGGCTCGGGGCGGCGGCCGGGCGGGCGTTTCCGTGGGCTGCGTCCCACCCGGGTCAGAGGACCTGGGGGGTCAGAGGCGGAGGGGCCTCACACCCCAGAGGGTGAGGGAGTGTGGCACTTCGGCGTACCGGGAGGCAACATGACCGGGCAGGTCTGCTGTCCGAACCGATGTCCCTTTCTGACGCTCACCATGTCATGAGCAGCAGACCCCCCCCCCCATGAAAGGGTTTGCATCAGAGCGTGAGCATCTGAACCTGCAGGAACATGTATGTTGTTGTGTGTTACCAGGTGCATCGGGTAATCCTGGAGCCTAATCTTCACAAAACTGCATGTACTATGGAAGACTAGCATTCGTTTTGCTTATTTTTTTAGAGGGGGGAACGAAACACCTTCTGAGTAAACTGAGACTTTCGTAGATCATTTCTACTTAACACACGGTATTCCGGACTCTTCGGGGCGCCAGCACGCCTCCCGGCCTGCTGTTGCTCACGCGAGACCCGCCCCCAGCGTATCGGACCGTCCGGACGGTGCCCGACCACCGACCACGCACCCTCCTTCCCCACTGTCCCCCGGCAGAGAACGTGGCTAAGCCGACAGAGGAGTTAAAGAGATTCACCCTCACCGGCGAGGAGGGGAGCAAGGAGATCTGCAAGCTCGCCAGAGGCGTCAGGCTGAAGAACCTGTCCCCGCCAGCTTCGCTGAAAGGTGCGGAGGGCCTGACCCGGCGGCGCTCAGGGTCCGGGGCCTGGACGCCCCTCTGCTCCCGCTGGGATGAACGTCGGAGAAGGAAACAGGAAGGTCGTGACCCCTGGGGTCGCTGTTTTGTGCCGCTCTGGCCAGGGGAGGTCCCCGGGAGGCTGGGCTTTTCTGCTTCTGACCGGGAGCCGCCGCCTTCCCCTGCGCGTGGGGTAGCATCTGCTTTGAGCAAAGTTTTCTCCAACTGCGTGAAAGAAGGAGGCACAGCGCGTGTCCCGCTGAAACCGAAACCAAGAGACGAGCGAGAAAAGGGAGCACACTGCCACTTTTTCCGCCGTCTGCTTCAATGAGAAACGACAAAGAGGGGAATTTATCTCAGAGATGTGCCGTTATTCTTTGAAAGAAAAACGACTTTCAAGCCACGGGCTCGTCCGCACTGAGCCCCCATTCCCGCCGTCTGTGAAGAACTGCCCGTGTTTGAGGGGGTGACCAAGGGGGCCTCGGGCTCCTCGTCTCCAAAACAGCGCCCAGCTCCCTTCTGTGGTTTCATTCACTGTGTCTGCGGACACAGCCAGGTGGACTGGCTTGGCTTCTAGAGTGTTCTGTGGACGAGCTGAGAAGTGCACATTTTGTCCCTGATGAGGGTGACATAACGGCGTTCTGGCCAAGAAGCCAGGGCCCCTGGGGGGTATGGCAGAGAGTTTAGAGGGGGAGTCGGGTCGGTGCCGGGGGCCCTCTGGCACCTGCTCCTGAGCATAGAGAGGCTAACGGGCTGTGGCGAGGATAAAGGAACCTCCGGGCGGGGGGGTGGGGGGGTGGGGGCGGGGCTCGGGGCAGGCTGAGAGCCAGGAGGGTCCAGGAGAAAGAGCCTCCAGGGAGGAAGATGGAAAAGGAGTGGCTGGTGGGACGTGGACAGCAGGCCCGCCTCCTCCGGGCCACCGTGGCCCCCCCGCAGCCTCTCCTCCCCTCCTTGAGAACCCTGTCGCACGTCCACACAGCTTCAGAGCACCTCGACCGAGGCCTGGTTCTCGCCTGGCTGCAGTGCCGGGCGCCGCTGCGGACCGCGGCACCTGCGCGTTTGGTGCTCTCTGCACGAGCACTTTCTGGGGCGCGGGTGCGGGGCAGAGCCTTCTTCGGGCTCCGCTGGGCCGGGTTCCTGTCCTTCTCCGGGATGTGTCTGATGAAGACGGTGACCGGTTCCCTGCCTCGTGGCTTTGCACCCGCAGAGATCTCCCTGGTCCAGCTGGACAGCATGAGCCTCTCCTACCAGATGCTGGTGCGATGCGCGGCCATCATCGGCCTGACCTTCACCACCGAGCTGCTGTTCGAGATCCTCCCCTGCTGGAACATGAAGATGATGATCAAGGCCCTGGCCGCCCTGGTGGAATGCAACATCTTCGACTGCTTCCGCAGCGGCAAGGAGCTCTGCCGGTCTCCGACGCAGAACGCCACCTCGTTTGAGGTGAATTTCCGCTCCCTGTCTCTGAGGCCCACTGAAGGAATGGGTGAGTAGGGCCGGAGGGAACCCGCGCTTCCCCTCAGGTCAGGGCGCGGCTCCCTCCAAGAGCCGAGAGCCGGCTGCCCCGTGGAGCCGTGGGTGCTGGTCCCCCCCCCCCCCCCGCCCCGCCCCGGCTGACGCGCCCGTCCGTGTGCCCCAGCCAACCAGGTGGACGAGGAGCTCCGGGAGCTGGAGAACAAGGTCATCGAGTGCCACATCATCCGCTTCTGCAGGCCGATGATGCAGAAGACCGCCTACGAGCTGTGGCTGAAGGACCAGAAGACGGACATGCACCTGAAGTGCGCCCGCTACTTGGAGGACAGGGCGCACAAGTGCGACCACTGCCACGGCGGGGACTTCATCCCCTACCACCACTTCACCGTGGACATCCGGCTCAACTCCCTGGACGTGGACTCCATCCGGAAGATGGCTAACGTTCAGGACCTCAGGCGTAAATGTTCTCCTTTCGCCGTTAGTGCTACCCATTCCTGTGGATGCGAGGGCTTCAAGCCCCCCGAGGGCCTGGGCACAGGGAGGGATGAGGCTTCGGCAGCGCAGCCGGCGTGCGGGGAAGGGCTGGCGGGGTCTTCACGTGGTGGAGTCTGGCAGCAGCGGTCTCCCCCAGAGACGGTCTCCCCCAGAGACGGTCAGCAGGGGTTTGGGGGTCGAGACTCTGGCCGAATGGGGTGTGGCCACAGTTCACAGTGAACCGTCCACAGGGGTCAAACAGACGTCCACAGGGGTCGAACAGAGCCAGTGGGGTTCCCGCCAGGCTCAGGGGTGGGGTCTGACGTGGGGAAGCGGGAGCAGGGCCAAGGTCCTCGAGGAGATGAGAATGTTGCTTCGTCGGTCTAGTTGGACGCAAGGCTGGGTCGGGGAAGGACGTGTGTGGGAGAGAACTGAGCGGGGCCGCGCAGGTCAGGGCCCTGGGGAACAGGCGCCGGGCTCAGGGCAGGAATCCAAGGCCATCCAGGAAGCAAAAGCCACAAAGTGACAAACTGGCAACACAAGCCTCCAGCCAAGTGACCCGGGGAAACCCCGTGGAGGATTCAGGGGTGCAGGATTCAAGGGCCCAAGGACTCGGTTCCCGCAGGCCTGGGGGGCGGCAGACTCGGGACAGCCACACCCACTCCAGCCCTCGCGTGTGGGCAGCCCTAGCCGACGGCCTCGGGGATTACCGCTGAAGCTGCTGGGAAAGTGGAGGCTACGACTCAAGGAGTCTGTATCATAAGGATGTTAGAAACTGGGGCGAAATTTATGCGCCTCAAGTGCCTGGCACATAGAAGGTACAAAAGAAGTCCTTATTCGTTCTCTGTGTGACACACAATCTCACTTGATCCTCACAGCAACCCTTGAACGGGGAAGGCTATTCTCATTGTGTACATGAGGACACTGAGGTCCCGGAAGGTTAAAGAGCTTGTGAGATGCCATAGCACAGGTGACAGAGTTCGTTCAGTCCCAGGCCAATTAGTTGCCAGGCTCGTGCTGTGTGCCTTACGCCTGAGGTCCCCGGTGTGCAGGGCTGGCCTTGGGGGGCATCCTGGCTGAGGAGCCTGTCGGTGGCGGCGGTGCACAGGGGCCGAGAGGCACTCGGCAGGGGTGACCACGAGAGCGAGGGGGCGGCTCCCGCTTCGTCCTCTTCCGGGACTTGATCAGAGAGGAAGCGGCCTCGCCCCGTGGCCCACGCCTCCCGTGGCTACTGCACTCGGCCTGGCCAAGCTCCCTTTTTAAAAAAGAGAGGTCTGGCTGAGAGCCTTCGAGTGTATACGTAGAGTCTGTCCGTGAGGGTGTCCAGCCCCTCTTGGGCGCAAAGTTGACGAGACATGAGCTGTAGTCTTGTCTCGTTGGGGCAGGGAAGGTGTCAAGGGGATGTATTGTCCTTGTCGCTGAGTATAGTGCTAATTACTGCTACTTATTGCGTCTCCCTTCACGCATTACAGCTTTGAAAAATTGGACATGCATTTTTAAGTATTGTTACAAAAGCAGTGTGTGTGCAACGTGAGGTCGACACTGAAATTGGTAGCAAGCATTAAAACGCAGTGGACGCTGGGAACCGAAGAGAGGTGAACAGACGGGTAACAGATTCACAAAGAAAACAGCCAAGAATGGGTTCCAGCCTTGGAGCCCTCCTGCAGATCGGAGACATAAACCTGAGGAAGGGCGAGGGGAGGGCCAGGATTCGGGAAGGGACTTCTCTGGTGAGAACCCGCGAGGCTCCCGGGCCCCCAAGGTGGCAGCTGCCTTCGCGATCTCGGCCCAAGCTGGGTGTGTTCCTGGGACTCGGCCGGAGCACAGGGAAGACGGGGCCTTCCCCGCCTTGAGGGCCCGTGACTGCCCCGGGAGTGAGGTCGAGGATGCGAGTGTGGGTTCGCAGATCCACGGGGAAGGGCCCAGGGCAGGCCTCCCAGGGGAACAACCGGAAGTCGTGGGTATCCGGGTGGAATTGAAAGTCAAGGGCAGATGAAATTCCCAAGGAAAAAATTCGGATGGAGAAGGGAGTCCAGGACAGAATGGAGGCGTCCCGGCATTCGGAATGTCGGCAGAGGAGTGGCAGCCGGGGAGGGTAGGCCCCGAGGAGTGGGGGACCCGGAGGCCAGGTAGGGGCCAGACCGTCAGATTAACGGATTTAGCAACACGGTGGCCACAGGTAACCCTGACGGGAGCGGTGTCAGTAGGAGAGTGGAGGCCTAATCAGTGTCTTCAGCTCCCGGTCACGGGAGACACACTAGGTGGCGATCTGGGGCGGATGGTGGAGGGCGAGTCAACCCTCTCGCTGTCCGATGAGGGTGACCAGACAGGCCTGCGTGGAGGTCCGTGGGCAGTCGCTGTGTGGGAGCTCGGACACCCACAGAAGCCCTCTGGGAGAAGGTGATGATAAGGCACGTGAACCGTCCCTTTTCAGAGTAAACGACCTTTGCAGTAATGCGTTCGCCTCGCGGCCAGTGGACCGAGGCTGTGTCCCTGTCTCCCTCACCGACAGACAGGGGATGCGCTGGACTCCTCCCCCTCCCGCGCTGGAGGGGTGGCCAGCAGGCACCGTCCTCCTGTGTGTCCTATTGCGAGATCATTATGGAATTTTCTAACGCACTGAAGTGAGGATTAGACTGAAGGTTCTAAACCCAAGGTTCTCTGCCCTTCCTCGCCGCCGAACACCAGACATCAGTGCCAGATAGAGTGTTTCAATGACCCATTCAACTCCTGTGTTTATTTTCCAGCTGAAGAACACACCAACTTTTCCAGAATAGAGATTCCGGGAAACCTGGAGGTCTTCCCGGAAAATTGCAGGTACAGGCCCGTGGGACGGCCGAGGGGCCCGTGCACACGCTGGTCTCTCGGTTCCGAAGGCGGCTGGGGCCCTCGGTCTGGCCGGTGCCCCTGGCCCCCCGGGCGCAAGCCCAGAGCCGTCCGCGGTGTGCGTGGGAGTGCGGTCGGCGGCATCCACGTTGGGCTGTCGTGTCTCCCTCTTTTCTTCATCTTTCAAGATGTTTTCATGCCACAAGCCGCGCCGCGCCCGCCCATCACCCCTCCTGTTTGTTTTTGCCCCCCGGGCAGCTCCGAGGAGATCACAGAAAAGGTCCTGAGCTTCTTCGACGTCCTCATAACCAAGATGAGCCCGTCGCAGGAGGACATCATCCCGCTGGAGTCCTGCCACTGCGAGGAGATCCTGGAGGTGGTCGTCATGCCCTTGGCCCACCACTTCCTGGCCCTGGGAGAGAACAGCAAGGCCTTGTACTACTTCCTGGAGGCGGCGTCCGAGTACCTCATCCTGAGGGACAACTACATGGTGCGCGTCTCCGCCCAGCTCTCCTCCCGCCCGGAGACACCTCCGAGGCTGGCCCGGGGGGCTGGGGTGGGGGCTGGGACGGGGGCGGGGAGCCCAGTGCTCCTTCTACTCCTTTGGGCCCTCAATGCCCCCAGCACCCCTTTCCTTTGGAAATGGGATTTCTCGGAAAGGAAAGGACACGAGATTGAGAAAAAAAAAGTTTGAACAAATTGCAGATAGCCTTCCGCGGCGTTGCAAATACTGCCACCTGGAGGGACTCGCCGTGAATTGTCTACCTGTATGGAGGGCGGGGGGCAGGGTGCATAGGTCATCCCCAAAATGATGCAAAGAGGACGCTTGGCGTCGGTGCTCCGGTCCCCCCAGAGTCTTCCTCAGCAGCGACACACGGCCTTTGCCCTCTGTCCTCCCCGAATACTGGTAGGTCTTTGGATGAGTGCAGATCCGGTCTTGACGCCGCGGCCTCCAAAGAGGCTCGCCCGCTCAGGTCTGCACCGAGTCCTCACGCGCACCCTCCGCCTGCCAACGCCCCGGTGCACGTTTCTCCAGGAGGAGGCCACCGCGCCTTGGATGCCCAGGGTCTCGGCACGCGGCAGGGGGCGAGGGGAAGCCAGGGCGAAGCGAGCTGGGCAGCCCCGGGCCGAGGGAGGCTAAACGGGTGTCTGGACGGCAGATGTGTCGGGGCTGTGAGCTGCTCAGCTGCGGCCCCTCTCCCAGGGGCTGGGGCCGGGGCTGGGGGCTGCCGTGGTTCTCTTCCGAGTTTGGCCTTGGGCCAGCTTTCAGGGAGCCGCTGGCCGGGCTCACCTTCCAGGAGCTCCCCCCAGACCCCATCCCCCTACTCCCCCGTGGGAGCCCAGCCTGCGGTCCTCCGCCCACCCCAGCTGTGTGTCACAGTTCCCGTCTCTCACGGCAGCCCGGTCCACCCTCCCACCTCAGGCAGACGTCACATTTACAGTGTAGGCCATTACGAACGTCAGCAAGCCCCACTTCTCTCAAGAAGTTGTGTCGAGGATGAAAGCCTCCGCGGCACGTTTTACTCACACGTGTGGGACATGGGGGCGGGGGGGGCGAGGCCAGGGAGTCTCGGGAAGACAGGGTGTGAGGAGCCCCGGGGCTGCCTCGCCAGACCTGCAGGGAATGCCCGGGCGGGGCGAGGAGGGGCGCTCAGGAAGGCGGTGACTGACAGCTGGGCTCAGAGTGCGGTTCCAGAATGTGCCCCTGGCACCCGAGAAAGCCCGGCAGGACCGGGGTGGCTGCAGACTCACGTCTCCCTCCCGCCCCCACCCCCGTTCACGCCCCTCGGGTAAAACACTTCGGGGACGGGGCTCCACCTTATTTTGCTCCCCAAGTCGGACTGTGCCTCGGGGGTCCCGGTGCCCGGACCCTCCCATCTAACTCCGCCACAGGAGGTCGGAGGTGACGGCAGGGAGTGGTGCTCGGGGCCTCACCCTGCTCCCCCGTTTCCCGGAGACAGCCCTTTGGGGGCACATGGGGGGGTCCACCTCATCCTGCCACAGGGGCCAGCTGCTCCTCATGGACGTGGGGGTGCGCCAGGGGCCGCCAGCACGGGGTCGGAGATCAGGGAGGCTGGGACGACATCGCTCAAGGGTGGCACAGGCCCGGGAACAACTTCAGGCGCAGCGACTGACGTGACTGAGGAAAGAGCAGAGAGGGTTCTAGATTCGCCCTCTGCAGCGAGTGGACAGTGAGGGGCGTGAAGGCAGCCTGTGTCTGCCGCAGGGCGCTGCCCTTGAGCTCCCGTCCGGGGTTTCGGGGCCCTTTCGCACCAGGGGCGGGCGGAGGCGGTAGGGGTACCGGAGCAGCTCCGGCGCCGGCCCTGCGGCGGAGTCCGGGGCGGTGGGCCCCGTGGGCCTGACCTCTGCTCACCGCACCCCTGCGACCTCTGCAGGCGTACACCTACCTGAACGAGGGGGAGCGGCTCCTGAAGACGCTCAAGAACGATAAGTCTCAGAGTCATGTTTTCGAGTCCGCCACCTTCTACAGCCTCAAAGGCCAGGTAAGGGCCCGCGAAGAGCATGCGTGTTCTGCGACGCGCCATTGGGGCCGCACACAGAAGCCGCAGCCCCCAGCCCTGCGCTCCGTACACCCTCCCTCCACCCCACCCCAGGTCCCATCCGAGACTCTGGACCCCCAGGCACTGGTACTCAGACCTCCTCACCAGCCCTGGCCAGCAGCGAGCCCTGCCTCGTCCGGGCGTCTTTATGAAATGTTTTTCTAGCAGCCCCCCAAGTGGACACGAATGGGTAGACGTTTCTTAGAGGTCGAGGATGCACCCGAGATGCCAAATGCCAGTCACCCGACCCTCCTTCTGCGCGCACATGCGGGCAGCTTCACCCAGGGTGCCCAGGGGCTGCTCCCGGGCCGGGAACCGGCGTCTCCGAGGAGGGTCCCAGGAAGGTGTGTCAGGGGACGCACCGCGGAAGCCCAGAACTGTGCCCCGCCCCCCCTGCAGGTCTGTTTCAACATGGGCCAGATGGTGCTGGCCAAGAAAATGCTGAGGAAGGCCCTGAAGCTCCTCAACCGGCCCTTCCCTTTCAACTTGGTCTCCGTGCTTTTCTACACCCGCGTTGAGAAAAACAAACACTTCCATTACATGAATCAGCAGGCCAAACAGAGCTCCCCGCCAGGGTAAGGGGCGGGGCTGGCAGAGCGGGGTCCTCGCTGCCCTGAGGGGAGGCTGGGCGGCCGAGAGGAGGGGTCGCCCTTGGTGAGGGCCCTCTGGGGGGCAGCAGACCTCTCGCTGTGTCCACACGGGGTGGAAGGGGCGGGGGCTTTGTTGGTCTCTCACAAGAGCACTAACTCACCCCTGGAGGCCCTGCCCCCAGAGCTTAGCAAGCCCCACAGGCCTCCCCTGTGGGTACCCACACCCTTGGGGGTCCGGATTCCGCACGTGGGTCTGGGGGACCAGAATGCAGCTGTTGGGGGCGGCCAGCGCCTCCACTGACCTGAGACTTAGCTGCCGAGAGCAGTGGAGGGAGGGACCGCCGGACGGGCCGGACTGGGGGCGGACCACGTGGGTCCTGGCACCACGCCATTCTGGCTGTGTGACTTTGAGTTAATTCCTTAACCTCTCTGAGTCTCCCCTTCAGCATCTGTGGAATGGGGTCCATTATTCTGTCCTTTCTTACGGGGCTGTCATCAGACTCAGATGTGGTGGAATGATAAAAATGTGCTTTTGAAGGAGCTTCATGTAAATACCAATGACGGGATGGCTGATGCACGTAAATTATCTTAATTCACCCTCACCCAGTCATGGTACCGTGGTGCCTGTTTTGCAGTGGAGAAAATGTGCTTCGTGAACCTCGATGCGCTTGTTGGGAAAGGCGGCGGGCCTGGACCCCGCGCCCCGCGGCCGTGCCGGCGCCGCCCCCATCCCCTGCCCCTGTGACCCCGCGCCCCTGTGCACACCCTCTCTTGCAGGAAGAAGAGGCTGGCGGAACTTCACCAGCAAACCACCTGCTTCTTCTTGCTGTGGAAGATCTACAACCTCAATTACTTTTTCCACTGCCAGTACTACGCCTACCTGGCGGTTCTGATGGGCATGAACGCCGCCCTGGAAACGCAGGACGATCTCCAGGTAGGGGCCTTCTGAGTGCCTGCGCCTCGCGTGGGGAGAAGCGCCTAGCGAGCGCCCGTTGGGACTGAGGACCCGCGGACGGAACGCGAGCCCCCCAGCACGCCGGCCCCAGGGTCCCTGCGCGTGCTCAGGGATTGTCGGGGACCTCCGCCGGCTCTCACTCCTATGGGTCGTGTCTGTGGATACTCTCAGGTACAAAAACAAAACCACGAATTTAAAACTATTTTTAAAAAGTGGTAAATCTGTCACACATTCACATGACCAACATCTTCACAGGGAAAAAGCTCTGTTTCTCCCAACAAAAAGTGCAGTGAGAGGAGTGGCCCATCACAGGTGTTGGCAGAGCCCCCGATGCGGACTCTGCAGGGGATGGAGTCTCTCTCTGCTCCTGCCCTCGCTCCCTCACAGCGCTCCTCCCCCCGCCCCCCGGAGCTTCCCGAGACCTGGGAGGAAGTGAGGGTGGGAAGGAAGGTGGTAAAGGAGAACTCTTTTCGGAAAGCTAAAGTCATGGCTCACGTGTCAAAGATTCTACCAGATTGTTCCCTGAGGGAACCACCGGTTCCAAAGAGAGTTGCGTTTGCACGGATGCGAAGGTCCTCTAGTCCACAGGCAGTGATTTCCCCGAAGCGTTACGTTTGCATGAAAAAGAACCGCATGCAACACTGTCAGTTTTCTGCACAGCCAGGCAGGCTGTGCACGGCCCGGAGACAGTGAGAGGCAGGGGTGACGATGCTGGTGAGGGGCTGGATGGACACCCGCTAAGCTGTTGGGGGTTTTTTGTTTTGCTTTGGCTCATTTTGACCTTTTACTGTTCTTCCTGACACAAATAATGCCTTGATATTATGCAACAAGCGTTGACCTCCATGTGCCCTTCCTGAAAGGGTCCCAGCGACCACCCTGGGAGACCCACTAGTCCAGGGCATAGACCGGGAGGTCTTTGATTAGATGGTGGAAACTCCAGGAGACAAGATCAAGATATTACTGCCCTGAGCAGTGTGGCTCAGTGGGTTGGGAGCCGTCCTGCAAAGCAAAGGGTCACCAGTTCGATTCCCAGATGGGGCACATGCCAGGGTTGCGGGTTCGGTCCCTGACTGGGGTGTGTACAAGAGGCAGCTGACGGGTGTTTCTCTCGCACACCGATGTTTCTCTACCTCTCTTCTTCCCTTCTCTCTAAAACGAACTAAATAAATAAAAACCTTTTTTTAAAAAAGTCAAGCAATTATTAAGCTAAATCCAGCTCATTCAGGCAGAGTGGCCTGGTGCCTTTATAAAAGTCCATCCGGCCTGGGCTTCTCCGGGGACCAGCGCGATCTGGGGAAGAGGGAGACCTCCCAGCCTCGCTCTTCCCCGAGGCCTCAGCGACGGGGCGGGGCCGCTGGGGAGCAGCACTCCTGTCACAGGCTCGCGTCCCCACCCTGAAGCCCCTTCGGCGGACCAGGACTCGCGGGCACTGGTGGGGCCCGTCACACTGGACCTCTGCCCAGGACCGGCCAGCCTCTCCTAGCTCCTGGAGCCGCCCACGGGCAGCTTTGAGTTCCCGAGCCACCTGCGTTCTGTCCCGCTGAAGGCCTCCGTCCTGGCAGTTCTCTCTGCCTGGGGTGTCGTCCCCTGACCTTGACTGGGCCCCGTGCCCCCCGGCTGGAAGGCCACCTGCTCAGCAATGCCGTTCGCGCCCGCCTCGCCCGTCCGCGGCTGAGCCGGTCACCCTGTCTGAGGGGCTGATTCCCATCTGACGTTTTCTGTCTTTGCTCCTTGGTCCCTGGGCGGCCTGCACACCCCGTGAGGGCAGGCGCCTCGTCCTCTGGGCCACGGGCTGAGCTCCCAGCGCGACGCCCGTCACCTCGCAGGCGTCCATCAGACGTTTTCTGAACGCCTCACTCTACTTACTTCTGAACTTGGAGGCTTCTCTCCTCGCAAAGCTCGGGGGAGACGGGGCCAAATGTCAAAACTGGAAAGTGACGCCGTTGAGGAGCCGGCCGTGATGAGGGCGGAGGAGCAGGGCAGGGGCTCCCCGGGCGTCCTCACGCAGCTGCCGCCGTGGGTGCTGCCGAGCGGAAAGGACCCACACGAGAGCGTTTCCAGGACCTGGCGGCCCGTGTGGCTCCGACTGCCAGTAAGCCCAGACCTCCCGGTGCTCTGCCGGCGCCCCCCCACCCACCAGGGACGTGGGCCACACCCCCTCGGTCCAGGCTGCGCCCTGGTTTGCACTTCTCTCGTCCTCCCCCCCCTCCGGTGCTCCTTCCCTCCTGGGGGCGTTCCTGGTGAGCGCTCTTCAAAAGCGGCCCGGCCCTCCCCCCTCGGTCCAGCTGCAAAAGCAACACGTGCCCGTGAGAACAAATTCCACAGCGCTGCCGGGGCGCTGGGCGTGAAGAGTGCAGTCCCTCTGCCCCCCTTTCCCAGCCCCCCGCCCTCTCGTTCCTCCCCGAGGGGGCGTCTCCGCCTCCACCTGGGGGCCCTTCCCTCCTGGCCGCCCCCCCCCCACATTTTGTATCCTCGTTCAAGTCAAGTTGTCTCCATTCTTCCCCACCCCTCCCCCCGTTCCAGGCTTTTTGCTATGCCGTCACGTGTCTGCATATATAAGCTCTCACTTTCATTTTTTTCACAAAAATTAAAATTCTCGCTTAAGACCTCTGTGGGCAAGAGGGGCCCGCAAGCTTGCCCAGGTGATTCGGTGAGGTGGTGGCAGAAACCCAATTTAATTTTGGTTCCGAAGCCCATGGCGCGGCCAGCTGGCCAGCCAGCCAGCCCTGGCCCCCGGCAGACACCGGGTGACGCGGCCTAGGGTCCCGCCTCAGTCTCGCCCCCTCTCTCCCCGGCCGGCCGTGGCAGATCGTGAAGGCCTACCTGGAGTACTCGCTGCACTGCCAGGTGACCGGCCAGGAGGACGTGTGGCTCAAGTACGAGGTCCTGGCCATAGAGCGGATCTTCAGGCTCCCCATGACCGACGTGGGCAGCGGGATCGTGGCGTACGTGGCTGACCTGCTGGGCTACACGAAGGTCATCATGGGCCACTTGGACTTGGCCATCGACTTAGGTAAGGGCTGGCTGAGTGGGACGGGACGTGCAGATACAAGCGGCACCCAGGGGCACCCCGGACTTGTTGCGTTCTCCGCAGGCTCTCGGGCCCAGAAGATGTGGGCGCTGCTCCGGAACCCCAACGCGCAGTATAAGGTCCTCTGCTGGCTCAGCAAATGTCTCCTGATGAAAACCAGGTGCTCGTCGTCCAGCCTTTCCCCGGACGGGGGGGAGGAAGCCACGGGGATGAGTCCTCTGGCCTCACTTTACACTGGCCGCGGGGCGGGCTGGGGAGGGGGGTCCGCAGCAGGACGGACAAGGTCGCTGGTAATCAGCCAGCCTTTGGAAACCGTGCTCTTTCCCCAGAACTTGACCCCGCTTAGGCTTTCTCATCCGATGGTTCTGGCCAGTGACGGGAGAAGGTCAGATTGCTGTCCCCACTGTGGAAATCAGGCCTCCACCCCCGCCCGGTGGAGAGAAGGGGCCAAGCCTCTCGGGGAAGCAGTGCCCGGAGACTAGCAGCCAGTCCTAGCGTCCCGGCGCGGCCTGACCCTGGGCACGCTGGCGTGGAGGCCCCTGAAGCGCAGCGTGGGCCGGGAGCCGCCTGGAGAGTTTGGGGTGGGCTTGGTGTTTTGGGGTCGCACTTGGTCCTGAGATACGAGGCGGGACCAAGACAGGACCAGGGCCCAGCCTGACGCTCTCCTCCGGCCCCTGCAGGTACAAGCCGATGATCCAGGTGCTGGGGTGGCTGTGGGACCTGGCCGTGACCGAGAACCAGATCTTCAGCAAGGCGTTCTTCTACCTGGTCTGCCTGGAGATCATGCTCTACGCCGGTGGGTGCGGCTCTGTGGCCTGTGAGCGCGGGGGTGGGGGGGTGGGGGGGTGGGGGGGCGGGGCTCCGGCTGTCACAAGGCTCCTGGCCGGGAGGAGGCATGGGGCAGGGAAGGAGCAGGCTGGCTGGGAGCCGAGGGGCGTCTGGAGGGCGAGACAGCTGTGAGACCCACCAGGAGTCTCCAGAACTTAGTCCGGAGCGGAGCAAGCTGCGGGCCGTGAGCTGCCAGTCAGGATGTCCCGTCCATGCACACACACGTGACAGGGGCTGACAGCGCCACCGCGTGTCCTGGACTGGGGCGTGGACTCCCTCGGCTGCCCTGAGTGGTGCTGAGGTCGAGAAGGAAAGGCCGCAGAGCTGACGGTGGCAGCCTGGGCCCCGGCTCCTCTTGGGGACTCAGGAGACAAACCCTGGCGCCCGCAGGCCGCCCCCAGCAGGCAACCCTCGGCGTGTGTATTAAACCTCGGGGGCCACGCCAGGCCTGGCCTCCCCACGAGAGTTGGAAAGGGGCTGCGGGGGTTGCTGCCGGTGGGGGAAGCGGGGGCGGAAAGACAGAGAAGTCCTGGGTAGCATGGAGCCCGCCCCCTTGGGCTGGACAGGGGGGACTGGTTGGAGCCTCGCGCCTGCCTAGTTGCCACGACGGGAGTGTGTCCTGGCTGCACACACGTCCACAAAAGCTGGGCTGGACCGCCCCAGGCAGTGCAGCCGTGTGGCCAGGGTGGTGCTCGGGACAGGAGAGAGGAGGCCCCCCAGGGGGCGGCTCTCCGCGGGGCCACCCCACCGGCCAGCAGCCCCGTCTCTCGCCCCCAGGCTTCACGTACAGGGCGTTCGACGAGTGTGTGGGCTTCATCCGCTGCAACGAGGACAACCGGATCCTCAAGTTCCAAAGCGGGATCCTGCTGGGGCTCTACTCGTGTGTGGCTATCTGGTAACGACGGGAGCCTGTGCCCACACCCCCAACCCTGAAAACGCTGAAGCTCTAGGTTAAAAAAGAGAGAGAGAGAGAGAGAGAGAGAGAGAGAGAAGAAAGCAGAAGTAAAACTTACACCCAGGGCAGACTGAAGGCGTCAGAGTGGACTGATGCTGAGGCACCTGGGGGGGCCACAACCAGTTCATGCCCCTCTCCCCCCAGGACAGGAGGGCGATGCTGACCCAGCCGTATCCCAGGCAACCGGTGCCCCTTCCGCCCGGGCCCCGTTGTGGTGCCCCGGGGACGGCACAGAAAGAGCGCTGGCCTCCGAGGAGGGCTGAGGGCCGAGGTCTGGGGGAGACAAGTAACTAGCACCACTCTCCCACTCCCCAACCCCCAAGACCTAATCACCCTGGAAAACGTGATTAGTAGGGCGGCTGTGGGAGGCCATGGCTGGTATCTGCCAGCAAGTGGGCTTCCTGGCGTTGAACCCCGGGCGTAGGCGGACCGCCTCCGCAGCAGGCTGTTTGGAAAGCTGCGTCCTCCCTGTGGGGACAGCGGGCCGAGCAGGGCAGGCCCAGGCGCTGAGGCACACCCACCTGATTCCTCCTCTCCCACAGTCTCCAGCCACCCAAGCCCCCGCTCCTCCTGATCAGAGGAGCCCCCGGGGAAGGGCGGGGAGCTGGGCCGCTGTGGAGGGCCCTTGCCTCCAAGGCAAGCTCAGGGCCGAGGAAGAACCAGCCCCGCACCCCACACCCCAGCGAGCCTGAGGCTTCGCCCTGCACCCTGTTCCGTTTCTCACTGGGCAGGCCTGCGGCCCGGGCCTTGGCCTCACGGTGGGGGGCTGGGAAGGCTCCCAGCGCTCACCGCCGGACTTCCACATCCACGCCCCGGGTGGGGGTCACTCCCTGCCCCACTTCCCACCTCCAGTCAAGTTCGCAGTCGTGCTGCCCACGCTCAGAGGCTCCGGGAAGAGAGGCCGGACGGCAATATGGAGACCCTCCCGCACGCACAAAGGGCCACCCACTAGCGCTGCTCCAGACTTGAGTAGAGGCCTCTCGTGATTGAAATTCCTTGGGAGAAATTCAAGTCCAAAACTTAATTATCCTTGCCAGTTCAAGTGCAGAGGTTCAAGTTCAGAGTCAAATTCACTTGCCTATGGGGGGTAAAGGTCAAGGAACCTGAAGTCCAGAAATCATCCCCATTGCTTAGTCTGCTCCGTTGCTCCCGCAGCAGCGCACATCCCACAGCCCTCGACCAGGCCACTGCTTCTCGCACTGGGGCTGGAACCACTGGGCGGGCTTATCGACCCCGACCCTGGCCCCACGCCCACCCCCGGGTCCATCGGACCCGCACGCCTGGGTGGGACCAGAGAACTCGCGTGTCTCAGGGGCATCCACGTGAGGCTGACGGCGCCAGGCCGTGGCCCACACTCTGAGCGGCGCTGGCCAAGGGTTCCCGAGGATTCCATTCGTCCCAAACCATCGAAACGTTCTGGCCTTTCCTTGCTCCCCGCCACCTGGTGTCCACCGGCCGGGCTCCCAGAGGCCCGCCCGCCCGCATTCGGGGACTACCTCCCGGGAGGCCGGGCCCAGGGCGACGCTGACCGCTCTGTCCCTCTACGGCGGCGCAGGTATGCCCGACTGCAGGACTGGGACATGTTTCAGATATTTTTCAACAAAGCTAAGAACCTCGTGCCGAGAAGGACACCCTCAGCGCTCTACTTCCAGGGCATCTGCGGGTTCATGGAGTGCCAGGTCCTGCACCTGCAGAAGGAGATCGAAGAGTGCGCGGAGAACGCCCAGGACAGCGGCGTGCAGCTGCTCAAGGTGAGGCCGCCCGCTGGGTGCCAGCCCGGCGCTCCGTGGGCGGGTCTCTGCGCCCCACTGGGGAGCAGGACCCAGGCCGCCTGCGCGCTGGGCGGCCTCTCGTGGACGGTCTGCAGAGCGCTCGGGCCGGACGCACCCAGGTCTTTGCAACGTGCACCCCCGCGGCCCCAGCAGGGGCACCTCCGGGAGGCGTCCGGAGGAAATGGAGGGCGCGCAGAAGTGTATCAGTGAAGGCACTGATCTCAGCTTTGTGTCATCAGAACACTAGGAGAAAAAAATGTTAAGGTTTTTTATTTATTCGTTTTTAGAGAGAGGGGAAGGAGGGAGAAAGAGAGGGAGAGAAACATCCGTGTGTGGTTGCCTCTCACGCAGCCCCTACTGGGGACCTGGCCCACAACCCAGGCGTGTGCCCTGACTGGGAATTGAACTGACGACCGTGTGGTTTGCAGGCCGGCGCTTAGTCCGTGGAGCCGCGCCAGCCAGGGCAGGGTAACGTACATAAAAACCGAACGGCCTTCACCAAGAAGATTGGTACAGTCAGGAGTGACACATTTAAACACTGGGATGTTTCCTGCTCTAAAAGCCTGAATTTCTGACACTTCTTTCATCAACTGGAGTAGCTGGCCACCTGAGGCCTCACTCTGGAAGGGCAGCGACAGGCTCAAGGTGACACGGTGACGCTCGGGGCACACTCTCCCCGCTTTCTGTGCCCAGCCTCTCCTCCGTGTCACTGCCCCGCTCCACCGACACGGGAACTCATGAGCCTGGATGTGAAAGAAGCAAGTCATTGAAAAACATTCACAAAAGCATGCTAAATGAGAAAAAAAAAATGTGCCCTGCCGTGTGATCAGTAGGATCCCAGCTGTGGTGGTGTGAGTGTCAGTGTGAGCAAGGGTGAGTGTATGACTGTGTGTGAGTATGCGTGAGACTGAGTGTGTGGGTGTGTCAGTGTGTGCGTGTGAGTGTGTGTGCAAGTGTATGAGAGAATATGTGAGTTTGTGTGTCATGAGTGTGCAAGTGTGTGTGAGGTTGTGTGAATGTGAGTATATGAATGTGAGTATGGGAGTGTGTAAAGGATGAGAAATAAAATAGTGGGAAAGCATGTAACCAAATATTAGAAATATTTTCTTCTGGGTGCTGGAGTTGTAGGTGATTTTCACACTTGTTGCTGTTCTTTTCATTCCCCCCCCCCCACATTCTGACCAATCAAGTTCCATCTGTAATCAAAGGAAAACACGTATTTTACAGAGTGGTTGCTGGGAGGGGCTGAGGCTCCCACCCACCCACCGGGCACCCGAGGCCCGGGCCCCCACCTGCCCGGGATCCTCTGGCCTCCCCTCCTCCCCTGCTGCATCTCGGTGACACGTGCCCCCCCCGCCCCCGCCGCCGGCTGGCACTCGCCCTGCGCCGCACCCAGACCCTCTGCGGAGGAGACACTGCCGTCCAGGCCCCCCCACCGACTCCCCGACGCTGTGTTCTCCGCAGAACCTGGAGCACCTGGTGGCTCAGAACATCACGGGCACGGTCTACTTCCCAAGGCTCTACCACCTGATGGCCTACGTGTGTCTCCTCATGGGCGACGGGCAGAACTGCGACCTCTTCCTGGACACGGCCCTGCAGCTCTGCGAGGCCCAGGGGAACCTGCTGGAGATGCACTGGCTGAACATGAGCAGGGTGAGTGCGCGCCGGCCCTCAGCGGCCGGCCCTCAGCCCGGGCCCGGAGGGGCCTCGCGGGCGGGGAGGCCGCCGGGGGCCTCCGGACTCTTCCCGGGAGGGGGTACGTGTCCCTAGCTCAGGTTTGTGCACCTCCTCTTCCTCCTGAGTTCTCACGGGGCCCCCTCCAAATCCCTGGAGCAAGGTCTTCCCCTCCCCACGGCCCACCCCACTTCACAGTGTGCATTGCACTCGTGGGCACACCTTCTCTCCCGCCTCAGAGGGCGAGCCCCACGCAGCCCCCAGCATAGCGCCCTAGACTCTATGGGGGCCTGGGGAGTGAGTGGATGGAGGTGCACATTCCAGGTGTGTAGGCGCAGTCGCATGTCCGTAGTCTGGGGTCCCACGGCTTTACGAGCCCGATGACGTGTGGCCACCTCTGGTGGGGCCGGTCTGGACCGCCGTGGCTGACGCGTGCCGACCGGGCCTGTGTCCCCTTCCCCCTCGCAGGAGTGGTGGTACTCCAGCTCCGAGCCGACCGAGAACCTCTGGCCCCTGACACTGCAAGGCCTCCCGTCGTGGCACGCGGTTGTGACCGGCCAGGTGAGCCTGCAGGAGATCCAGAAGAACAAATTCCTCATGAGAGTGAACATCCTGGACAACCCTTTCTGACGTGTCCCGGAAAAGCAGCAGAGAGTCTAGGAAGCCTCGTCCGTGACTCACCTTTCCCTGCGGCCCGCACCCTCCCGGGGCGCCCACAAACCTCACCCGTTTGCACGCGGACCTGGCGGGCGGGCGGCCCGGCCCTGCTGAGGGTCCGCCGGCGCCCTGCGGTGCCTGGCTCTCCTCCGCCCTGGCTCCGCCTGCGCAGGGTCCCGGGTCCCCTGCGGGGAAAGAGCAGCATCACCGCGGCAGTGACACTGCGACACAGACATGTCTGGTCAGCCCATTAAACGGAAAATGTTTGTTTTCAAACGTCCAGCTGTTCAATCTTTTCCGGGCAGCACGGGATTGCCAACTGTGAATCTTCCCCGTGGTGGGTGCGGGCGAGACGTGAGCAGACGCGTCTTCGTGGCGCCCGGCCTCGGCTTCCGGAGCCCTCGTGCCCGTGGGAGGAAGGGGAGGTAGAGAGTGGAGGCTGCGATGATTCTGATGAGCAGCGGGAGGTCTCTTATCCACGCACAGACTCCGTGCGCTTTCATCTTAAACGAGGAGATAGCGTTCTTTCCCTGATGGAGCAGCTGGCTGGAACCGTCCTCCGTCATGGCCGCCCCCGCAGTGGGGGGACACGTGGGGCGGGGGAGCTGCTCTCGCCGGAGGTCTGCACCTCTGAGGGCCCAGGGCCACGTGTGTTGCCGCAGCCGCCCTGCTGCCGCAGCCCCTCGCGCCGCAGACCCAGGCGGCCGCCTCTGGCAGGGCGTGTGGGTTCTGTTCGTGGGTTCCCGGTGTGTCCTGGCCCTGGAAGGGGGCCCCGGGGACAGGCACCCCTGGACCACAGTGACTTCCGGGGCAGGGCCCACACAGGCACCCCTTCAATAGGCCAGGATTTCATCGTCCTTCTGGGAAGGGGACAGCGGTGTATTTCCCCTCCATGAAGGAGGGTGGACATCCAGACGACACCAGGGGCTGGCCCGGGGGCCGGGGCCCCAGGCACGGAGGAAGGGCGCCGGCCAGGAGAGCCAAGGGTGGGTGCCCCGACGTGAGCCCCACAGGAGCAGACTGGGCAGCTGTGCTGCCCGCCGACCTCTCTGGTTCTGTACTTGGGCAGGCGGATGGGAGGGGCGGGGAGGTGGGGCGGGGCATGATCCTCCCTCCTCCACAACCTCTCAGACGCCTTTCACTGCCTGTGACCGAGCCAAAGCCGGAGCAGGCAAGGCTGGAGGCGGAGGGTGGGGAGGCCGGCGGTCGGTGGAAGTGCGGTCACGTGACTCCCCAGCCCTGGTGGAAACGCTGAGGACCGAGGCAGAGGGGAGCAAGGCTTGAGGGCAGGTTAAAGACTTTACCTCCCTCGCGCCTGAATCCAGAAACGTGTGCAGCGGGCTTTATAAGAACCCTGACTATGCCCCTGGCCAGTTACATGACCGCTGCGTCCGTTTCCTGGGGCGTAAACTAAGGTGGTGAGGAGGTCCCTTCCCTCCCCATCCGGCTGTGATTCCAAGGGGCGGCCGTGGGTGCATCCTCTTTCCAGCCAGCAGATGGCAGCACCGACTCTGTGCAGTGGCCGCCACCCAGGGAGGAGCTTCTGGTCAACCTCTCCAAGCCTCAGCCCGCGGCACTGGGAACCGCTCCGGCTTCCACAGCCACTCCCCTCGTTCCCGCAGGAGGTGCCCGGCATCGGGCTCTCAGGAGCACCACTTGAGAAGGTAGATTCTGGCGGCAGGTGTTTTTAGGAGAAGGCAGACAATCCCTGAAGGCCGCCGGAGCAGAGAGGAATGGAGGCGTGGTGATCTGTCTTTCGTTTCCCCCCAAACGTGAGCCTTCGAGCGCGCTCAGGAATGCGCAGAGGGCGGAGGCTCTGTCTCCAGCACTACGCCAAGTAGGTGCTCAGAAAGGGATTGTGAACTGGTGAGTCCATCGAAGAACAGTTTCAACTGACGATCTCAAGTTAGTCCTTCGTTCCCACGGCTGCTGAAGGCCGGGTTCCACCCCCGCCCCGAGCTCTGCAGTGGGGGCTTCTCCTCCCCTCTCGGTTTCAGATGTGCGCCCTGCACAGCGGGCAGGCTGAGCCGGCTGGCCTGGGACCCCTGCTGGTTCCTCCACTTACAATCCCGTTGTTTGCCTTCAGGATGCCCAGTGTCCTCGCCGGGAGTGTGAAGCTTTCCAGGCCTGGCTCCCCGCCAGGTTCAGTCCTGCGACCACCCCAGCCTTTGGGCTGGTCCCTCCAACTGAAGGTCTCTACCGGAGTCTTTCGGGTTTCCCCCAAATCTTCTGGCCCCAAAGCACCTTCTCCCAGCATGCCTCGAGGGTTGAGTCCATCCATCCGTCCGGGTCATTCCCCAGCAGTTGTCTGTCCTTCCCCATCCAGCTGCTGTCCCGTGACTGCGTGGCGCTGTCTGTCTGGGGCTGCTTCCTCTCTCAGCTCCTCAAGGGCCGGGTTCTGCGCCCTCAGCTCTGCCTCCCTGGCGCTTGGCCTGGGGGAGCCATATGAAGGCCGCGCTGGCTCTGTGCGGTTTTCGGTAGCACCCAGCACTGCACGGTGTGAGGGGCGTGGCAGCAATGAACACACGGGTGACGGGGTGACGGGGTGTGTGCTCTCCACCCCCTGGGTAGTGGCAGTCCCCGGGACCCCCCTGGGAGGGGTACCCCACCCCCACGCCCCCACAGCGAGGGGAGAGGGGTGTGAGGAGGTTCTGCAAGCGTGTGGGTGTGACCCGCTCATCCCTACCCCTGCGCTGTCCAACAGAGCTTCCCGCCAAGAGGGTGTGGTCCCTCTCCACACTGCTCACGCCCCTGGCCCCGGCTCGCCCTTGACATGTGGTCAGTGTGGCCGAGGGCCTGCATTTCACGTGTGATGTGGTTTTAACGAAAATGCGTTGCGATGGCGGCGTGGGGCCTGTGCGGCGCTGTGACTGCAGGAGCCCCAGAGTGCAGCTGCGGAAGCCCCGGTACGCCGGCCAGGGCCCTTCTACAGCGGGAGCCCAGACGGCTGGGAGCGGAGCGGGGCGGGCGGTGGAGCAGAAACCGCACCCGGCCCGGTGAGCGAGCGGCTTCCGCGCTCCTGCCGCCCCCGCACTCCCAGGGCGCCCGCTGGCACGTGCTTCACAGCGAGCGGAGGTGCCTCCCACACCTCCCCACCGGGGGCTGGGCCGCTCCCTGTTTTTGGTCCCTCTGCCCCCACAGGAAAGGGCCACTTGGACGGCCAGGCCAGGGGCAGGGAGGAGGCCCGAGCGTGGCCTAGGAAGAGCCATCCTCCAAAAGCCGGAGTTGAAACAGACGCACAGTTGGCAGCAGGGGCCCGACTCTGGCGTTGTCTCCCTGGGGCTCGTCAGAGCACAGGGAAGGACGCCCGTCATCTCCGGCCAAGCCGCTCTGTTCTGGAGTAACTCCTCTCCCTCGGGCTTCTCCTCTGCTGCCCCGCCTCGGTGAGCCAGCGTGCGATCATCGGCTCAGCCCCTTCGTCCCGAGCCTGGCGTGTCCTGAGGCGTCCTGTGTCGGCGGGGGGGGGACACCCACGGCATCAGGACACAGAGCAGGGGGCCCCTCGCTGGCGGCCCCGCCTGTGTGTTTGCCAGAGGTCCCATGTGCTCAGCGACCTCGAGACACGAGCAAGCTTCTCAGAGACATGTCCCCCTCTGCTGGGGCCGCTCCCTGCGGTGACGGCTGACGTGTGGGCCAGAGAGACCGGGCTTTGACTCGGGGGCGTCCAGAAGCGTTCAGAGCAAACCATCTGGCCCGCTGCTCCGGCCGCAAGAGCAAGGGCGGGGCTTTGCAACATGTCCCACATTCCTCTGGGCCCAAGCGCACATTCTAAGAGATTCCCAACAAAATAAATTAGGATTTTATGTGCCTTCTTATCTAGTTGAAAGAAACTCTGTAATGAAAAACAAAACAAAACACACCACCACAAAAACTCTTTCCAAAGCCAGAGAAAGCAAGGAGGATGGACCTGGATTCAAAACTCTGGGTTCTTGGCGTCCCTCCTTAGCAGGCGAGGGACCCCTGGGGCCCTATGCAAGCCAGCCTCAGCTGGCGCTGTCCCCACTCCCACAGGCACAGACGCCTGAGGTCACTCAGTGCCCTGAAGGGCCAGGGAACCAGGGCCGTGGCCGCCACACGCTCTGGAGCGAGCGCAAGGCCGGCTCCAAGGCCAACGCGGCGAACGCGACCCGGCAGGCTTCCGCTTCCCAGACGCACGAAGGTCAAAAGGCACCCCAGCCCTTCCTCGCATTCTGGAACGCAGCAGGCCTGCTCCGCGAGGCCCCCCGCGGGAGGAACAATGGTTCTCACATCCTGTTTGCGGGCAGAACTGAAGCGGGAAGCGGCAGCTCCTGGGGGACTCCCGGAGGCTGAGACCGGTGGGTTTACTTCCTCGCAGGCACAGCCCAGGCCCCAGCAGGTGCCGGAGCACCCCCGGGCCCCGGCCCCCTGGCCCCCTGGCCCCAGTTGCTTTTTTTACAAACCAAGTCTCAGCCAGGCTTAGGGCCACGGCTCCCCCACCCACACCCCTTGGCCTCAGGAAGGATGTGAGTGGGAGAACTAGGCTCTGTGGCCGCCGCCCCCACCCCAGATGTGGGGCCAGGCATTTCTAAGGCACCAGGAAGCCTGTCTCATCCTGGGCTGCCTTTGACTGGCACTTGGCCTTTGCTTCTCGAACAGCCCACGAGGACAGAGGACTGTTCCAGGGTCACGGGTGGCACACGGAAACAAGAGGCCTGGAAACAACCTGCGTGCCCGGGGATCCAGACCTCGTTTCAGAGGCGACGGTCCGTCCGAGTGAGAGAAGACCCTGTGGGGGGGCTGCGTGGGGGGTGGCTAACAGCCAGCGGCCCGTTCCTACCACGCACGGGCGTGCGAAGGGGAGAAGCAAACTGCAGGGCGCCGGGACCCCAACTCCGTGTTTAGAACAGGCACGCCCGCTGTCGAGGAACCCCGTTCCAGGCCCGACTGGAAGGAGCCATTTGTGAAATGCCACGTTTGAGGCAAGGACACCTGAGTCCGCACTGGGCGTTAGAGGGCAGGAAGGAACGGTTTGTCTGCAGGCGTTTCGAGCGCGTTTCCCTTAAGGGTGACGAGACATCGTGGTCACGCACGAGAACGCCCCTTCTTCAGCAGACGCGCCCCAAAGAACGTGGCGGCAGACTGCCACGATTCGGGGTTCGGCGTGAATGGAGAGGTGACCACACTATGCTCTTCTCGCGTGCGGGTCTAGAGTTCTTCGCAGTAACAGATCTGGAACACGCAGGGAAAAGTGGGGGGAAGGGCGCCATGAAGCGGACGGTCAGTTCCTGACACCACCTGGCTCTTCGGTCCGTCCGTCCGTCTGTCCATCCACGCCACAGTCACCCAGAGGGCTCAGAGGCCAGCCGAGGCCCTTAGTGGGCAAGCGCTCCCCGGGCCGGAAGCCGCCCTCGGAAGTAACAGGGTGTCGTCAGCGGGCACGGTCGCCGGGCGGCTGGGAAACAGCCCCAGCGGCAGCTCCCTGAGACCTGGTTCCCACGCAGGGGACACACGCAGACTGGACAGCCCGCAGAGCCCCCCGGTGGGTGCGGCCACCGGAGCTCACTCCCCTGGGGGCCCTGCCAGCGGTCACTCCTTCTCTCCCTGCGGAGAAAGTGGCACCAGCCAGGAGCTTGTCTGCAGGCATGGCAGGCCCTGCAGTAGACTCCAGTGTGTGACTAGTGAGTCGTTTCTGGGGACACAGCTCTGAACAGACGGAGACGCCGTGTCGTCCTCCGATCCGAGAATGAGGGCCGCACTCAGGCCCCATCTCTCTGCCACCTGACAGCCACCTCCGTGCGCCTCCCCGGGGCACAGGGAGGAACCGCAGGCGGGCACCCCGATGACGAAGTGAGGCCCCTCTCCGTGGCGACAGGGTGAGAACAAGACCTCAGGCACCAGCCGGGCCTCCCTGCGAGTCCTGTACCCTGAACCTGACACCGTCCTTCTAAAAGCGGGTTTGAGACCAGAGCTGTAGAGAGCGAGAAACGCCCGGTGCCGGCACACGAGTGTTCAGTCCTGACGAGGTCACCGTGCATCACCCCTGTGGCAGGCTCCCTGGGCAACACACCCCATGCTCCGTCTCCTCACGCTTCGCCCCGGACGGCCCTTGACACAGGTCTGCTGGGTGGTTGCCCGTGCAGCCGGCCCACCCGGACCGAGCTCCTGGGAGGCGCCGGCCGGGGGCTGTCCCCCGCACAGGGGACGACGGGGCAGCCAGCCCAGGAGCCGAGCGCCGGCCTCTGGGTGCTGACGCCCCAGGAGGGGCATCAGACAAACGTGTGTGTCTGTGGGTCAGAGAAAAACAGAGCAGGGTTCGGGGGGCTGAGGACAGCGGGCTGGGGGCGGGGCTGTTCTTTTCCGAGTGACAGAGGGCCCTCCCAGGAGGTGGCACCGGGGCACAGCCTGAGCGGAAGCGGGGGAGCAAACCCGCGAATCTACGCCGGGCGTGAGCCCCGGGCGGCCGGAGGCAGGCCCCTGCGGCGGGCGTGGGGTGGATGAGAGGGCCTTTGGCTCTTTTTCTACCTAATTCAAAATGAGCACACCACACAACGCAGTCATTGAAAAAGATGTATTAAAATATTCACAAAAGTACAACGATTGACAAAGAAAACAACAAATTGTGGACCTGGTGGGTTTCCCCAGCGAGATACCATCCCACTGAGCAGCGACAGAGGGTTCGGAATTCAATCTCTAAGTCATCGCTTTCGGGTGCCGCCCGACAGAAGTCACGTGTACTTGTACGAGGTCTCGTTCCGCCCGTGAGATGCGGAAAGGACCCTCCCATTTAGAAGCAGCCCCACGGTGGCCATCTGTGGCCAGGGACAGGAGCTCGGGGACACAGGAGGAAGGGCCCGAAGACCCACAGCGGGTGGCGTGCTGGGAGGAGGAAGCGAGACCAAGTGTGAGCCACCGCCTTGGAGGAGCCTGCCCCAGAGCCAGGGCCGGCAGCTGGGGACTGCCGGCTGGGGACTGCCGGCTGGGGACTGCCGGCTGGGGGGCCCTCTGCCAGGTGCTGACCCGTGGGCCGGGGGGGGGGCGGGGCGGGGCTGGCCGGGTGGGGAGGTCACAGGTCAGGCAGGAGGCAGCCAGTGTCGGTGTGGGAGTGTCTGCGGATGCTGGGGGTGGGGGCAGATCTGGTCCTCCCCTGCGAGAGGAGGAGCGGGTGCTCTCACTGTCAGGGTCACTGGGAGTGCACGGGGGGGGCGGGGGGGAGTCACAGGGCCTGGGGGGGAAGGGTGAGAGGAGAGCGCCCCTTTTCTCTGTAAGAAGCGGCTGGCAGGCAGCATCACGAGGAAACCGCACACCTGGCCTCGAGACCAGGTCTCGAGGCCAGGTGCGTCCTCTCTGCCTGAAAGACAGGGGCTCACCAGAGCACCGTTCGCATCCGTTTGGAGAGCGCAGACAGTGCCCCAGCCCGCCCTCCCCCTGCCCCTGCCCCCCCACTCCCCAGCAGCGCACGCGCACACACACACACACACACACACACACACACACACACACACACGAGAGGGTCTCTGGCCGCTCCTGTGTTCAACCTGGATGCAGGAAGTTCAGGGGGCGAGGGGACCGGATCCAGAGCCGTGCGGACACGTCTCGGGACAAGCACTCCGCGACCCTCGCTGGCGCTGGGCCCGCGAGCCAGGAGGAGGGTGCAGGGCCGGCGGATTTCCCTCCTGCCACACCCGGCCCGCAGCAGCCGTCGCCGGCTGCAGGACGCACCGTGTACGGGGTGTGACTGCGGAGCCCCTTCCCGACCTGGTAGAGGGAGTGTCGGCCGGAGCGGGATGGGAAGGACCAAGGACCGGCGGCTCCTCGGAGAGCTGAAGACCGCCAGCCCGCGGAGGGCTGGGAAGCTCCTGCGCCCTCGCTCTATCGTGTCACCTCACAAATGCTAACTCCTGCTTCCGTCCCCTAAGGGTCCCCTTGCAGCTGGGCCCCCGGGCTCCCTCCCAGGTGGCAGACACCCGCAAGGAAAAGGAAGCAGCTTGCGGCCGACCTCGAGCTGAAGGGGGGAAAAACGGACGTCCCCACGTGCCCCAGCATGCCCTTGACCTCCCCAGAACTGAGGGCTTTCGGAGCATTTTAAATTAAAACAATGCTGTTACTACAAAGTAATCCAGCAAATGGAGGACTGGCCCATATAAATAAGGGTTTCATGATCTCACTCTACTTGTCCTTCCTGGGAAGAAGAGAAATGTCAGGTTGGGGGTGGGGTGGGGGTTGCCAGCGGGACAGAACGAGTTACTGGGGAGGACACCGGAGCTGTGGAAAGAGTCCCTCCTCTTGTCGTCCACAGCTTCCCCCCACGGGGACAAACGTGCAACACGAACAAACAAAAAACAAACGAACAGGAAGAGAGAAGATTCCCAAAGCGCAAGTACTAGCTCTGTGTGCTGCCCTAGAGATCCGGCCGGTCGCTAACCTTGGGGGTCCGGAGGCAGCATGAAGCCAAGACTGACGCCCCGGAAGGACGATGAACCCCCAGGGAGTGCCCTGGGCTCCTGCCCACGGCCCCCGTGAGACCCCGCTCTGCCAACTCAGGAGGAAAGGAACCTCCGCTCCCCGGCTGTGGGGGGCCCCTGGTCTCCCGGGAGGACTCTGGGAAGAACCTAGCAGGCGCCGGCCCGCTCCTCAGGCACGGCCTGTGTCCTCCGCCGAGGACGTGGAGATGGCACTGGCCCACGGCGCCGAGGGAGACCTGACCTCTGGCCGCCACCTGCGCTGCTCTCGCTACGGTGAACGCAGGCGCCGACGAAGAAGGGGAGAAGCGTTCAAGTCCAAGTGCACGGCACAGAGAGTGAAAATGCTTGGTGTTTCAGTGGGAAAAAAATCATCAACCAAAACTGCTCAAACTGTCCCCTAAAAACTACCACCAGTAGTCGGAGCGGGCGGTGGGTGGCAGGCCACTCTGGGCGTGTGTGTCCCTCAGGGTGTCTGCGCTCTCCGACCACGGTGTCCGCTAAGCCTGGTTCAGCCCCCGGGCGCAAGGGCCATGTCTGTCGGGACGCGAAAAGGTCGCTACGATCTCCGAGAAGGCAAGCCGTACCCAAGCGACGGAGACAGGGAGGCCGCCGAACTTCCCCCGCCGCACGAGACCCTGAACGCAGAGCAGGACGAGGAGCAGCCGGACGGCTCGCGCTTACGTGCACGCAGACCGTCTCCTCGGCGTGCGCCGCCGGCTCCGCGCCTCGGCGGATTAAATAGAATAGGTACACACGCCCTCTGTCCACGTCTGCTGCTCCCTCCATGTGCTTGTCCTCGGCCAAGGCCACGGGTGGTGGCGGGCGGCGTTTCCACTCCAGAGTCCAGTGTGACTTTGTCTCTTGCTTGGGACACGGCCTGGGTCTTCTCTCTCAGTTTCTCCGGATGTCCGCGTACACCACGGACTCAGACTTGTTGACCTTGTCGCTGCGGGGCCCGCCGGAGTGGTCTAGCTGGGCATAAATGACGGGGCCCTGGGGGAGAGAGGTCGGGTCAGAGGTCTGGAAACCTGGCGGTCCCGTGAGGGGCCCGGGGTCGGCGGGGAGGGGCAGCACTGGGGTTCCAGAGCGAGACCCCTCTTTGGAAGGCTTTCAGGAGGACGTCTTGGGAACCCCCTGTCCAGGACTGACTTGAAAACAAGATTGCAGATAACTGAAATTTCCATTTTGGAAATTTCTGTAACCGTGCCATATTCCTTCTCTGGAAATCACCCTTGTCTTAGATGACCTGGCACAGACCTCCCCGCCCCGTCCTCGGGCTCAGTGTCTTAAAGAGCGAGAGGGGCCCTTCACCAGCCCGAGACCCACGGGCACAGGCGCTCCGCAGTGGCGCCCCGAGGAACCCACACACTGGCCGCCCCCCAAAGACACAGTCTGACCCGGCCACTTGACACAGATAGGTACTCCCAAAGGTTTCAAATCTTCTTCCACGTGCCTGCTTATATAGTACGACTCTTCCGGTCTGACCCCATCACAACTGGAACGAGAACACTGCTTCTTTGACATCTAAGATCACGTAACTGTTTCTCCCATTTTAAGGTAAAAAACAGGGCGGCAGGCTCTTTGGACCTGGGAGGGAACCCCGGATGGACTGGAGTGGGGGCGCCAGCGGCGAACGGCCCGGGGCCCGTGGGAGAGCCCGGGAAGCCTGGCTGCCTGGGGCGGTGCGGGGGTGGGGGTCGGGGGGAGGTCGGGGTGAGGCCCGGAGTTCAAACACCTGACCGGTGGCTGCACATCGCGACCTGACAGTCCCGGAGACTCTGAGGCTACAAATGGCAGCAAGAAAAAGAGGAAGAGCCCGCAGTCAATGTTTCTCCTGGTGACGGCTAACACCGCGCCTAAGCGTCCAGCTCTGAAACCCTGAGCTCCCGCGAGCTCAGCAGCTGAAAGCAGGTGGTCTGACATCAATGCCCTTCCTGGCCGGAGCCGCAGGTCCCCATCCTTCCTCGGTGTGTGAGGTGGGAGGGGTCCGGTGGGGTCCGGGCACCAGCTCAGCTGTAAGAGCTTTGCCCCGGTGCCTCCACGCCTGGAGGTGTAAACAGAGTACCACTGACCAGGGACTAGACCCAGGAGGGGAGAGGCAGCCACACCCGCAGCCCCGTGGCTAGTCACCACTAAACCAGCCTCTCCAATGGCGGTTAATGTGGCGTTGCACCTCCTAGGATGTGGTGAGAATGCAGCGAGACGAGACACTGTCTATGCATTGAGCCGTTTCTGACACCCTTTCCACAGACACCTGGTTACGTCAGTGCACTTAAACTACCCGAGGTCGCGGATGGCGGGAAGCAAGCAGCCAGGCTCCGAGTGCGTCTCTGGTCTGCGAGTGACGGATGCTCCTGGTCTGTCGTGGGCGTGTGACCTCACACCGCTCCTGCGGAACCGGGGGCCCTCTGTGTCCGTCTCAGAGTGCAAGTCCAAGAGGAAAAGAAGTTTAAAAAGAAAGCAGCTGTTTCCTACTGCAGCCGACCCTCGCACAACACAGGTCTGGACTGCGTGGGCCCTCTCATTCAAACATTTTTTTCAATAAACATATTGGAATTTTTTTTTGAGATTTACAATTTGAAAAAAAAAAACAGATAAACTGCATAGGCTAGAAATACCAAAAACATTAAGACAGAGGCATGCCGTGAAGGCATGGAGGATGCCCAGGCGCTGGTCTATGCTGTCGTTTCCCGCCATAAAACACACACGGCAATGTCCGGTCTCAGCTCGAAGTAGTTAAGTCGTGGGGGAATCGGAAGCGACCCGTGAGTTTTCGATGGCACCCAGCGTCGGAGCCCCTCCCCCTCCCCCACCCGTCCAAGGGCCAGGTGCTCTAGGACCAGAACGAAACGATGCGTCCTCTAGCTAACCGACCCCCTGCTGCAGTCGCTTCCGAGAACAGGACAGGCCCTGAGATTAAGTTAACCAACTGCTAGATAACGACGCCCCTGTCGTAGTTCATGAAGACCCCTCGGGGTGCCGGGGCGTCCACGGGAGGGGGAGCTCCCGCCCCCCCTGAGACAGGCCGCACACGTGGCTGCGGGGACCTTTCCGAGGGCCGACCTGGTGTTCCGTTACAGATGATGAACAAGGACAGTAAATGGACACAATGGTTGGATGACCCTCCAGAAAATGTTCGAATGTGGGAGGGGCCCTAGGAGTTCCTCTCGGGACGTGGCCAGACTCTGGCTCCGGAGGGGCGGCAAGGGGGGGGGTTGGCCCTGAGAATGGGTGCAGCGGGCACGCTCGCTCACTGGACAGTGGGCCCCTTCGCTCCTCTGCTCAGCTCCCTCTGGAGACACCACCCAGCTCGCGAGAAAGGCCCCTCAGCAAGGGAAAGGTCCCCCAAGGAAGCCAGCCACCACTTTAGACGGCCAGTGCAGCCCGCTGCCCCGGGGCGGGGGGCACGACCCCCGACCAGGTCTGAGAGCCCTGGGTGTGAATGGAGAACCGAGGCCCCGGGTGCTGGAGGGAAGCTTCCAGCGTGAGACAAAGAAATTACACGAGAAAAGGGGGGTTCAAGAGAAACAGAGCAAAGTCAAGCATCAGAAGACAACTTAAAAAAAATACATCTTGCAGAACAAGAAAGAAGGATGCGCTCCAAGAGATGCAGCTGTGCACCCAGGAAAGCAAAGCCGGGCTCCTCGGATCGGAGGATAAGAAATGCTCTCTCCCGCCCGTCGGGGCCAGGCCCAGCGTCCAGGGCGGTCACAGGCCACTCGCCACCTTCGCCGGCGTGCTGGGCGTGTCGCTCTCCCCGCCGGTGGTTCTCAAGAGGCAGGAACGGAAGTGGCACTTTCTCCGCCCCGGTCCCCGGACGGAGACGGAGACGGAGAGGGAGGCCAGTGTGAGGGGCCTTTCACCCGCCACCACCTTCCCTCCGCCCCTCGCAGCGCGGACAGCAGCTGAGCCCGGATTTCCCCAAACAACGGGGGTTTCCCCAGAGTCTTCCTTAACCCTACGGGGCAAGAAGCCGCGGCGGCGGAGGGCCTGGTGTGGGTCCTGCTTCCTTGCCGTGTCCCTCCCCGTGATTAACAAATACAGAGTGTGTGTGTGTGTGTGTGTGTGTGTGTGTGTGTGGTCCTCCTCAAAAAAGAGAAATCGCTCTTGAACATTTTTTAAAAAGACAACCGATAATAATAAAAGTCGGAGAAATTTCTAGAACGAACAAAAAGAGCGAAACAGAAACAAATGAGAAAATTAAAGGATTGATCTAGAACACGGTTGAGTTCCTAGTAGGAATTTTAAAAAGAGAAAATGAAAGGAGGAAAATTCCCGAAGAAAAATGGAAGAAAATACCCTAAAACCGAAGGATGTACTTTTTGAATTAAAAGAACCCGGTGGGTAGCCAGCACAATGAGGGGAAAAAAAACCCACAACTTTGTGAGATTTGGGAACAGGAGGAATAAAAACCACACGGAGAAAAGGGCGGCAAACCCAGCCCCACCCCCAGGGGCAGGAGGCGTGGCCGCCGCTCAGCTCTGGGGCCGGGAAAGCCAGCCGCGCCTCCAACGCTGAAGAAAAGGCATTCCGACCCGGAATCCCCGCCAACCAGATCCTCATCGGAGCTCGAGAGGGGAGACAGCGACCTCCGAAGGGCTGACAGCAAGTGGACGGCCCCCTAGCGCCAGAGGGCAGGGTCTGACACCAGGCTCCGGGGCTGAGCCGAGGTTCCCGCCGGGGCTGCGGGGCCCACCCTCGCCCTGGCCTTCCCGGCTCCCTGGGGCTGCGGCCGCGTTCCGAGCTCCCGGCGCGCACAGCCCCCGCCTGTCCCGCTCACATGGCCCTGATTCTGACCCCGTGGCACCCCTGTGCTTCCACTGGGCCCGCACAGGTAATTCGGGAGACGCCCCCGTCTCAGGCCCGTCTACCCAGCTGCAAGGCCCCTTTTGACTGGTGAGGTCTCAGCTCCCACCGGGCCCACGGGCGAGGATGTGGGCCCCTTCGGAGGTCATTCCTTTGCCTCAGAACTTGTACCTCCCGTGCCCCCTTTCTCAAGAAGTTATGGAGGACACCTTCCACTGCAACACACAGTACACCGACCAGGTGAAGACTTGCAGCCCCTCGGCAGCGGGGTGAGAAAAGTTCCTGGAGGGGAGGCCCAGCACGACTGCCACCGGATGGCGCGGAGCGGGGCGGAGCCGGATGCCGACAGGTGCGCTCCAGGAACACAGCGCCACCGGCGGCCGAGGAAGCAACGTGCGGGGGTGTGCTCAGAACTCCTCATCGGGGAGCTCTGATTTGGAGTGCAAACACGTACTCAGAAAACAAGTGAAAGAGCAAGGCAAACGTTAGCTCCACAGACACGAGAACGTTGTACAAGAAAGCAACCGCACATGGCACGACGGTGCAGGAGAGCAGGCACGCGCCTCGGTGACGGACAGCTACCTAGATACGGGCCTGCGGGGAAGGGGCAGGTGTGCGTGTCCCGGGTGCGCGTGCGCCGGGGAGAACGAACTAAATTTCCATGACACGGAGTCAATGACTACTATGGAAAAGTCTGGAGAAAGAAACATAATATGAAGGTAAGTACCAGAAGAAATGGCTGGAAGAACGGAAAGTGATTGGCTAGTATTTCTGTAAAAATGTGTTTCTCTCTCCTTCTCAGACCCCAGTCGGGGCGCTGGAAACGTCACAGTTCCAGATGCGCAGCCGAAGGTGGTGCTAACCTCAACATGGGCTGGCGCACCCTGCCCCCAGGGCGGGGGACTCCGCCTGGCCTGGGTACCTCCGTCCAGGAGAATCTAAACCTCCCCGGGTTCGCCCCGCCTGCCGATCACACAGCTACAGGCTGACTTTAGGTTTCTTCTAAAGAATTCACAGAAAACAACTCTGTTTTATCACCGGCACCCAGATCAACCTTCTCTCGCTAATACTTGTCACGTAGAGCACCTCGGTATGGAATGCGGTTCACTGGGTCTCCTTCCCTGAGCAGCCAGAGAAGACTCGGTCGTGTCTGAAGAAGCTGTCTCCTGACGGCGCATGGGAAGAGGGGCCGCGCCCGAGCGAACAGTCTGTTCGTGCTGCTCTACTCGGGGCGGACTCTCCTCTGCATATTGGCGTGGGGCCCTCCTAAAGTGGCTCTCTCTCTGTGTCCCTCTGTCCGCCCGTCCGTCACTCCGTCCCGGCGTCGCGGCTCCTACTCTCTCCTGCTCCCGGGGTAGTGGCCCTGCCCACCGCAGAGCGCAGCCCCGGGGCGGGCGCCCGTTACCTGGTGAGATCCAGAAGGCAGGCTCTTTACTAGACCCTCTGTGTCGGAGGGGGACTTCCTCGGAGCCTGCTTAACCGGTGACACACTCTCTGAGGTGCTGCAGCTGACAGGGTGGCAATTTGGAGAACAAATGTAAAACAAAAAGTGGTTTTAAATAAACGGAAACGAAAACATGGGAAAGCAAGTGATGACAAGGCGAAGGAGCAGATGCGTAAAAACAAAACACAACGAAACAACATATCGTGACCCCTGACGCTTGCTGGGCGAGTGTGAGCCCTTTGCCTGTCTCCAGGAGTGACGTCGGCCGGGCGGGGCTCTGGCTACGGTGATGAACGTGTGTGCTTGGTGCTCTGCCCTCCCCCGCCATCCGCCCGCCTTCGGGACAGAGATGTAAGGGAGCAGGCTGTCCCTTCTCGTGTGATCATCGAGGGGAACCTCTGCTGAATGCACTGCAGAAGTTCCGGCTGCCCGCCCAGCTCGCGGTCTTGGCCGTCTCAGTCCCTTCCATCCCTTCTTCCTTCCTCCTGTTTTGTTGTCCCCCCAATCACCGGACGGAGGGCCCCCGGGGAGGTGTGCATGACTGACCGAGGGTCCCAGGGCTGAGCTTCCTCAGGGCACAAGCCCCGGGTGGTAAATAAATCCGGGGCAGTGCGGGCCGGGAGGTTCCTCCTCGGGGGTTCCCCAGTGAGATGTGTCCTCAGCGGAGCTCAGGGGCCTGGGGAGGATCCCACGTCAAGTGTCCCAGCGAAGACCGAGTGTGCGTGCGGTGCACCCCACTAGCTGTGCCTTCTCTGACATGGGAGGTGAAAGGACCCAAACCAAAACGGTCTGGCCATTCATAGTACAATTCATGTATATAAAAAAAAAAGAAAGAAAGAAAACCAAAACACACACACACACACACACATACACACACAAAGGCGTTTCACATGGAGAACACACATAATCACAGTTGTAAACCCCTGTGTGCCTGACGCCCCACCTCCCCGGGGCGGTGTGCTCGTTGTGTTTCTGACACAAACACACACACACACGTGACGCACTGGTGCACGGACCACAGGACCACAGGAGCTGTGGGGTTAGCTCAGAGCTGGCTGGTTGGTTAGTTGCCAGCCAGGAAGCTGGGCTGTACACACACAGGAATATTAACAGCAACGGGCAACAGGATTAGTTACCATGTGTCTAGTGGGCTGGAGGGAGACCCCGCCCCGCTACAGGCTCAGTGTGGCATCTATGTCAGCTTTTCTCAACAAGTGGAGGAGAAGCAGGCTCTGATCCCGGCACACCGAGGCAGAAGGGCGGGGGAGGGGGGAGAGACAGAGTGAGAACAGCAGCATCCACAAGGCCGTGCAGGGTTCTCAGGCTCGCGTGCTCTCCGTGAGCCCGAAAGCAGGAACTACAGCGACCAGCCCGTCACCACCCCGGATTAGTCTCACGTGGAAACCGACACACCAGTTATTTGTGATCGAGAGACGCTCACCATGCAAGAACAGAGGCATTCCAAGCAAGGACTATCCGAGCTGGACCATTCAAGCTCGTTCAAACACAGCACTCCTCCTAAGAACCAGAACCGCAGAGCCCCGAGGGAGGGAGAGAAGGCGGGGGTGGGGGGCAGGGTTCCCACCGTCCATCCACCAGCCAGGCCACCGGGCATGCAAGCCTCAGAGCGCAGTCCCCGCGGGATGGGGAAGGTTAGCCGTGCGCCTGCCGCCCAGCCCGCGCCCTCAGCTGCTGGAAGCCTTCACCCTGCCCGACCCCGGCAGTCCCGCTCGGTTAGCTTCCCCCTGGGGCGGGGAGGAGAAGGCCCTGCGTCAGACGCACGCCGGGCTCTGGCGTGAACGAAAGGCCTGCTCTCCCCTGCCGCTGGTGCACGTTGGTGCCCAGCCCTCGCCGCCCCGATTTTGATGAGTCCCGCCATGCACTCAAGACAGATCAGAGCAACTCAGCTGCCAACCAAACCATAAAACAAAAGAACCTGCATCATCGCCTCAGCTGGGGGGTCGTCTATTAGCACAACTGTCCTTGACTCGTCTGATATTTGCCTGACTGAGAAGCAGAACCCGCTGGGATTATCGCCAAAGGATGAACGTTACTCTCGGAAACTGGGTAGGTGATGTCTGTGCGGCTTTGACCGCCAGTGGCCGGTGGGCGGTACCGCAGCCGGAGCCCAGAATGCCGAGCGGCTGGCGGCCCCAGGCCGGGGGCAGAGCCGGTGCGGCAGCGGCTCGGGTCGTAGCCCGTCCACGTGGGCCACCGGCTTCTGCGTGCCCTCGTCCGCACACCTCCCGCGGAGACTGCCTGATTCCAGCAGGAAAGCACATAGTTGCTTATTCTTCACAATTCTGTTTCCATAAAAAAATACAGGGGCTTTTATAAACCCTCCCCATTTCCATCCCCCCAGAAGCAGCGTCTCTCACCCAGTGTAATCCCGCTTGGAGCTCCTCCTTCGGTACAGGATGGCCAGGACCACGCTGGTGAGCAGGCAGAGGCCCACGACCACGGCGGTCACTGTGCCCACCACCGCCCAGACCGGAAACACGGGCAGCACGGCTGGGGAGAGAGAGCAGAATCGTGTCACGGTCCATTGCGACGCGGAGAAGACGTGGGACTTGTGACATGGACGAGCAAATGTCTCCCTCTGGCGGTTACCGGACCCTCTACTACCCCCCGGACTGTGAGGCCTCAGGGTCCAGGTAACGGCACCGGGCTAGTAGCTGGCAAAGGACGAGATACGGTGAACTGGGCATTCCTGCACACACCAGCCCTCTCAGTGTGCCAAAATAAAAACAAAACAAAACAAAACAAAAGCTGGGGTGCGAATTCGCCTCCATCTAGCCGCCGGCAGAGCAGCCGATGTCTCGGAATGAGACCCCAGAACCGGCGTTCCTGCTGCTTCTCCAACAGGGAAGAGACAGCGGTCGAGTTCTTGCAGAGGTTAAAACGTCCTCCCGGAGAACATCGGAGGAATACTAACCTCCTGCTTTCCCACCGCTCAGCCCGTCAGCCACAGCGAGGTCGGTCTGACTTCTGGCCAACGCCGGGTGACCAGCACCCCGGACGCGGGCCAGGAGGCCTCAGGCGGCAGGCAGCTGTGTACTCGGAGAGACTGGCCACTCGGCCGGCAGGGGCCACTGTCCCCGGCCCCCAGGCCCCCGGGAACGGGGCACGTCGCTGCAAAATGCCCCTTTCACACACACCCTGGGACGTCAGTCTCGTTTTCCACCCCAACACGCGACAAAGGGGGCTGAGCCATTCCTGCAGACGCGCCCAGGAAGTACCTTTCTCCACGACGTAGAGCCGGATGTGTCCGGGCTGGGCGACGATGTCGGGAGGGTTTTTGACGTCGCAGATGTAGGTGCCGTTGTGCATGAACTGCATGTTCTCGATGCTGATGGAGGCGTCTTTCTTGTCCAGGTCCCCAGCCCAGCTGATCCTGTCCTTGAAGGGTGGGTAGTTCCCGGTGTACTCCTGCCCCTGGGAGTAGTGGAAGAACTGCAACCAGAGAGACGGGGCGCGTGAGCTCGCCCGGAGGGCAGAGGCGCCCACGCTCCCACGGGCGTGCTGCCGAGGGCTTGTCACGCAGACTCCCTACAGGAGACATCCGTCACCTTGCAAGTCTCGGGTGGAATCTAAGCCAGGCAGGGGTTGGGGAACCAAGGGGTTCAGTCCCGTTTCAGCCTCAAAAATACACTCGGGTGTCATCTCGAGCCCTCTCGATATCCCAGTGACAGAGGGAATAACACCGGTATTTTTACGAACGTGGGAATGGAGACTCAAAGAAGCCACTGGCCCCGTCAGGGCCAGCACTCCTAGGGTGACACCAGTGAATTCAAAGTTTTCGGTCCTCATCACAGTTCACCGTTAAGACACAGAAAGAAGCCTGACCATCGGTTAATCCGATGGGTTTCTCCCTCTGGTTTATTGGTTTCCCATGGAGCAAGGGGACAAAGCCCAGGCAACCCAGAAAGCTCTCGCCCGCCTTCCCAGGTTCGGCCTTCGGCCCCTTCCTTTCCACACTCACGCTCACTCTGCAAAGTAACGCCGTCAAACCCAGCGCCCGGGAAGCCAGGTGAGGCCTGGTGGGTGGGGACCTGGCCAGACACTGGCCTCGACGGGCGGCTCCCTGGAGGCTTCCGGCTGGTGCCGTGGCCAGAAAGGGTGGGGGGGTAGCGGTGGGGCGGGGATCTGTCCTCCAGCCCTGCTGGCGTTCCGACCCGGGCACTTCCAGCACCCCTCCTGAGTACTCGGAAACCCCTGTGCCACCACCTCCTGACCCCCACATTTCATTATGTCCCGAACCTCCCTCTACCTGCAGCGTCCCCGAGCTCCAGGGCCTCCCCCGATGCCCGGCTCACGCTGCCACCCAGCTGCCCCGCCCTCCGAGCCTGTTGCACTCTCCCACGGACTCCTCCCACCTGGGACTCTCAACCTGACTGGCGGTCCACTCGACCTCCCGAGGGTCTCTCACCTCTGTTGAACTCCCAGGGGTGATGCTGGCTGCACACTCTGATCGTCTCAGGCCCGGCCTCTGCCCTGCTCTCAGGCTCCTCCAGCCCGCCCTCCCGATGCCTAAATGCCCACTGAAAACGACGCCAGCGACCAAAACCATTTAAAATCCGTGCCCTGCGCTCACTGTCACCTCATCCTCAGGCAGAACCGTGAAGGCCCATGCTTTCCCCTCCTTGCACGTCTGTGACAGGTTCACAGACGCTGGCAGAAGACACAAGACGCCTGAAAAGGCTTCTCTCCGGGGAAGACACGGAGACAAAGGCCCTCATTGCACAGGACACAGCACGCAGCACATTCTCAGCTGTGGCCCTTGCGCCCCGAGTCCCACAGGGACGGCCGGGTGGATGCCGGTCCTCAGAGGCTTTGAGTGCAGCCAAGGAGCCCCACGCTTAGGGAACCCGAACCTTTTATAACGGGCAGCACATCCACCTGACCTCGCCCCACGGGGAGACACTACCTCTCCCATACGGGCCAGGAAGCAGACCTGTGCTCTGCTCCAGAGACACCGTCGCTGTCTCCCTAGGCTAGTGGCACTGTGCAAGAAAGGCCACCCACCACCGCCTCTGCTGGCCAGGTGTGCGGGGACGTGAAACACCTGTGGAAAACGACGCTCCTGACGGCCCTGCCAGGTGAGGCTCGCCTGCCAGGTACCCCCGGAGGACATGGGGAGGCTCAGGACTTCAGCGAGTTGCCCGAGATGACAGGTCTTAGCCCCACGTGATCCTCACGACACCCTGTGCGGGAAGCTCCTCGTCTCCATTTTGCTGGCCAGAGTCAGGGCCGCCAGCCCCGCTGAGCGAGCACCCGGCGTCCAGCTGCCGACGCACCCTCCCTGCGGCCTTCCGGCCCCGCGGCCCTGCGTTTCTGTTCTGCTATTTACTCCCGTGTGACGTCACCGACACGCCACTCTTACTTCTGAGGACTCCCCGAGGGAGAGCACAGATTGTTTTCGAGTTTCTGAGGACCTCACCGGCCCACAGTGGGCTCCCGGTGCAGGCCGCTGAACCAGACGGACCAGGGCACGTCGAGAAACTCAGAATTCAATCAGAAAGGTGTGTGTGTGTGTGTGTGTGTGTGTAAAGAAATACCAATGAAAAGGGGGTGAATGGAGGCTCCCCGGGGGCAGGGTGAGTCTCGATCAGCATCAGCGAGGCCCGCCAGGGGCTGCTATGTGGGAAGGACACATGTCAAAATGGGCCTCATGGGTGGAGGAAATGGGGAGACAGCAGGGCGACAGCGACCCACAGGGACGAGAAAACCAGCTGCCTTTAAGGGAAGCCGAGCTGATTTTTTCTTTCCCCAGACGGCCTGGAGCAAGAGAAGGGCCCTGCAGTCTGATCGATGGCAGGCACGCTGGTTTTGGTAGTGACCAATCAGAAGGACAGGTCACTGATGACACGACAGCAGACAGGACCCCGCGAGGTGGGACTAGGGTGCTCCTACCGACATGGAGGTGTCCGTCCCCTCTGGCTGGAAGCTCCAGGAGACCGTGGTCAACATGCTGGTGGTGTTCGCCGACTTGAACGTGCATGTCAGCTTCCCTTGCGTCCCATTGGCCACGTACATCTCTTTCGGGGTGTACACCTCCAGGGCGGACACGCCGGCGGTCACTGGAGAGAGGCAGGGACAGGGAGGCTTAGGATCAGGGTTCGGCACGAGTGCTGGGGAGCACACTTTCAGAGAAGACGACACGGGTGCCAGAAAACAACAGGACACACACAGGCACCTGCTGCCCTTGTGCGCAGGGTCCCCCTGCGACGGGACCCCCGGCTGACGGCCTGGGCGCGTCATTCTGCGCGGTTTCTGCGTTTTAGTAACAAGACACTTTTACTAGTCCTGTAGTTTGTCCGTTCACCTACCGAAGGACATCCCGGCTGCTTCTCAGACGGTCCGATTTTAATAGCATGCGGGCTATAGTTCTACTACTTTTTTAAAAAAGGTTTTATTTATTTATGAGGGGAAGGGAGGGGGAAAAAGGAGAGAAACATTGATGTGTGGTTGCCTCTCATGCACCCCACACAGGGGACCTGGCCCGCAACCCAGGCACGTGCCCTGACGGGACATCAAACTGTGACCCTGTGGTTTGCCGTCTGGCACTCAATCCGCTGAGCCACACCAGCCAGGGCGGTTTTACTACTTTAAATAGATCTGGTACTTACCTGTTACCTTTCACTGGCTAGCACAGGGAGCTTTTCCATTCTCCATATTTAAAGCAATGAAAACTATTCTAGTTGGGTAATGTGTCATTTCAGAGCCGTGCCTATTATTCAGCCAACCCCTTTTCTACAAAGGATTTAAGACAAAGGAAATCGGACAACACGGCACGCTTTCCTTCCTGAAATCTTACCACCCGTCCGATTTCACTGGGGTCCGTGCCGCCTCAAGGGCCAGAGGACCACACCGGTCCTGCTTCCGCTCACCCCATTACAGTTCCCCAGTTCTCCCGAGCCCGGGCAATGGCATTGGAAAGGTCTATCACTCGGAATATAAAAATGGCCCCTGTTCACAAGATGCCTACGCAGAGGCAACCGCAGGGATTGCTGGGCACGGCTGCTTCACTCAAGAAGAGACCCTGTGGACCACGGACAAAGTGAAGGCCAGCAGAAAGCGAACTTGGCCTAGGACGGGAACGATGAGAACGGATACGGAAAAGATGAGGAACACCCGTCTTCAAAAGAAGGCGTTTTAAGGAGAAATCCCTTAGAGAGAAGCCGTAAGTCCTGTTCCGGTGACTCTGGGGATGTCACGGATGAGCAGAACAGAGAGGGGCGGTGTGGCCCGGGCCGGAGGGGCACACTCAGGAGGACGCAGGCCTTCTGACGACCGGCCAAGGAGGGGGAGGGGCTCCCCGGCCTCCCGCACGTCTCCCGAATGTTTATTCCCCGGACACAAAGTGCGCTGTGGCCGTTCTTTTAAATAAACTGGTCGCTGCACTGCATCGGGCCAGTTCCTTTTCTGCGAAAGAGGGTGGATTATTATTACAGGGAACAATGGGTCATTATCTGTGGTCCAAACCTCAAGACAAGCCCTTCTTTCAGCCGAGAGGCAAACAAAAGGCGTTCCTTGCTATTGTGGGCAGACAGAAAGGCAGCCCAGGGCACTCGGTTCAAAGTCAAGGCCGGAGCCCTGGCCAGGACCGCCTGACCCCTTGTTCCAGGAAGCAGCTGGGCTTGGAGACCCTCACGGAGTGTGAGTCCGGCCGGTGTCGCCCTCAGTGACGGGCGCTGCAAGGGCGGCCAGGCTCGAGCGTCGTCGTCGACAACCAGCGCTCTCCGGGGCTGTCCCACGCCACACCTGGCCCCAACACCTGGGCACAAGGCCTCGTGCAAGGCCTGGGTGCAAGACGGGCGCCCTGCTACAGGACGGACAGAAGGAACAAGGCCGAGGGTCCAAGCTTCCACCAGGAATCTCCACTAAAGAGACCACCCGAACCCCTAAAAGGCTCTTAGACGATCTGTTTACGGCAGACTTAGTGACACTGCTGCCTCGGTCTGAGCCGCCACCGCCTCTCGCCTGGGATTTTCAGCCGTTTCCTAAGCTGGTGGCCTTTCTGCCGTCACTAGCCCGCCTGCAGCCTGTCCAGGGCGAGGCCAGAGACGCCCCGTCAAAATGCCCGTCAGATCTTAGGCTGCCCCTGCCCCAAACGACGCGTCCCCCCGACACGCTGCAGCAGCCACCCCGTCCCCTGCGCCCACACCCGTGACGAGCGTCCCCAAGTATAGAGACTGGAGGCGTCCCCGGCCACCACGAGGGGAGAGGGGTGGACCGCGTGAAGCCCCGAGCCTCTGCACCGCCGACCCCAGGGAGGAGGGTCAGGGCACAGCCTCGCTTACAACTCGCCACGCACGCACGGGACAGACGCCGAGGCGCTTCCACCAAGCACAGTGCGGGGGCGGCGGTTTCTGACCAACAGCCCCAGCGACCGGGTCGGTCCAGGGGCTTCTCCCATGTGGGCAGCATGAGGAACCATCCACGGGACTCCACTCGGCCGAGCCCAGGAGGACGCGCTGCTCCCCTCATGACTGGGAACGGCGTGCTTTGTCCAGACTGTTCCGAGTGGCCGGGGGTGCTGTGGGGGGACACAGGGGCCGCTTGTGGAGCCCAGATGGCCCGTCTCCAGAGTCTCGAGAGGGGGGGGGCCAACGGGGCTCAATGTGCAACTGTGAGGGCAAGGAGACAGTGGGGAGACTGTGGTTCTCGTCCACACCGCGCCTGTCACTGCCGCCGGAATCCAGCCCGAACGGGAGGAAACTGAATAGGTCTCTCTGAGGCCTGAGACGCACCCTGAGGCCCCCGTGGCCAGAGTCGCCGGGCAAAGTCTGGAAGCTTCCGTTTGAAAACTCATCGGTGGGAGGAAAAGCGGAGGATCCCGGAAAAACCAGATGCCTCCGGAACGAAAACATGGGAGGGAGACGCAGTAAAAGCAGGAGGCGGCCCACCACCGTTTTCCTGCCCCGCCAGCTCCGGATTCTGAGGACAATTGACCTTCCGCAGGCCTTCCACGCGGGCACGGGAGCGGGGCTAGCTTTCCTCCCGGGGAAGGAACCTGCCTTGGAGTTCAAGGGCGAGAAAACAAATGAAAACGGCCCATCTTGGAGGAGACCCATGCAAGCGAGGAGAGCCCGAGAAATCATTTGAGAAGTAATCAAACAGGAAACCCAAACGTTAATATTCTTTTCCTTTCTTTCTTTCTTTTTTTTTTTTTTTTTTGGATGGAGAAACAGATCAGTTTGGGAAGGAAAAAAAAAAAAAAGCAAGTAGAGGATACAAAACAACATTCATCACAGCCACAAAGGAAAAAGCAAATTCAAGCATGGCTTGCCCAAGAGGCTGTTTCCAGACGGAATCTGTGTCAATACTGTAAAGTATCGCATTGACATAACACGAGCAGCCTGGCCGCTGTGGCTTGCTGGCTGGGCGTCACCCCGAAAAGCAGTGCGTGGCTGGTTCTGTGTACCCAGCGGGGGCACAGGCCTGGGTTGCGGGTTCGGTCCCCGATCGCGGCACGCACAGGAGCAGCCGATCCACGTTTCTCTCTGACATCCACGTTTCTCTCCCTCTCTTTCTCCCTCCCTTCCCCCTCTCTAAAAATAAATGCGATCTTTCAAAAAAAAAATAAGTAATGCGCCCCCACGAACTTGTCAGTCAACATGATGTTACTCCGAGTGAACCCCAACTCTCGGACCACAGAGTCACTTGCAATAACAGTGCACACTCTCCCGGCCCAGATGGGGGTTTGGAAACCATCACCGTGGAGACAGTTCCCGGTCGGTGCCTGCTGGGTCCGGTGTCGTGCCCTGGTTGTCAAAACCTCAGCCTTTCAACAAGCCAAGTTAGGGCTCTGCTTGAAATGGGGGGAAAAAAAGGAGGCTTTTGTTTTGAAATTTTGGGGAAGCACTTTGATGTCACCAGTATATTCTCCGGCTTCAAAGATGATGACCGAGGAATTGCTCTAAAAACAGCCCTCTGGCCTGCCTGCTGGCGGTGCACAGGGACGGCCTGAGGTGGCAGTCTCTCCTGGCAGAACCCTAAGTGGGACCTTTCAAATGGTGCTAAAGGAGAGGCACCAGAGAGAACGCGACGGAACTCAGAGCCGTGGTTACGGCTGGAGCAGAGCGGAGGGGGCAGGGCACAGAGGCTCCCCCCCAGGGCCGTGCTCTGACACGCTCTCTGTGTGTGTTATTTTTGAACACGTTTTGTCTTTCACAACACACACTGCTTTTGTGAAGGAGAGAAGAGGAGACGTCAGGAAAGCGATGAGAGAGCCGCCTCTTGACTTCCAGGGATGGACAGCAGCAGCACGTGACCCGGCCGGGGAAGCGAGGCCCGTGGGGGGAGGGGCGGCGTGGGGGAGGGGAGGGAGGGGAGGGGAGGGGGGAGGGGAGGGGAAGTACAGTTTGGAAGGGAGACTGCTTGCATAAACACAGAGCTGGGTTTTAAACACACACAGTCCAAGGCAGAGAAGGACGGCTCGGGGGGCTTGGTCCACACAGTCCTGCCCCGAGCCCAGCACGGTGCCAGCCGCTCAGCTGCACGGACCTGTGCTGGGTCCTCGGAGACAGGACGGGGAAAGCCAGGAAAAGGCCTTGGCAGCCGGCACAGGAAAACGGAGACAGATGGCTGAACGCCCTGGCCGAGCGACCGACAGCCAGGTGCAGGCGGTCCCCAGGGCGGAAGGAAGGCCCGGCAGGGCAAACTTGGGAACACACGGACCTCACCCCCAGGGTGACCTCTCCCCCCACCCGGAGAGGACATCTGGGCCCCAGTGGTGGTGCAGCTCCAGGCCCAGAAAAGCAGCAGAACCAGGAGGGCAAGGGCAGGACCAGCTGCAATGATTAAGAGCCCCCTGCCCTGCCCCGACCAATCAGGGGAGCCTGTGACCCTGAAAGGACACACCTAGGGGACTGACGCAGGTTCTGCTGACACCCTCCCCTGAGATCCGCCCCCAGGACCCGGCCTGCAGGAGAGGGATGCAGCAGAGAGACCACGGCCGCTGACGCCAGTCCCTTCCCTCCCTTCTCCCCCACTTCTCCCCCCATAGGCAAGCACCTCCTGAACTCGGGGGCAGGGGGCCCAGGCCGATCCCCGAACCTGTCCCCTAGCCCCTTTT